ATATATATATATATATATATATATATATATATATATATATATATATGAAAAGGCTATCATCATATTGATGATAGCCTTTTCCAGAAAACTGAACAGTAGTCTTTTCTTGGATCTTTTGAGCTCTACAAAGATCCAAAACATGTTGACGACATCACCAGGAAAAGTGTTCACTGGAAACGGTCAACCTTTTTTCCATGGTGATGTCACCCCTTAGACCTTAATCAAATAGAAAACATGTGAAGTGAGCTGAAGGGAAGATAGGCTGACCGATGTTAAATGTTACCAATAAAGACTAAACATGCTCCTATTAGCCAAATGATTTCTGTTACCTCCTGAGATAATTATTACAATTAAAGGTTGTTTGTGAAGTTATGCTTTTGCATTGTATTGTATATTTAATTTTTTTTTTTCTTTTTACATCTTTAGCCATGATGCCAGTAATTCTGGAGACTGCTGTATTGGCTTAATTACTTAACTTAAACATAGATGCTTTTAAAAAGCTGAAAGATAGCTTCAGCTTGAATCAATCAGGAATTCACTGTGGTCGTCAGGGCGACAGCGGTGATGTAAGCCGGCGCTGCCTTGTTTTCTTTGACTAAGCAGTAAAGAGACTGTCTGAGATTTTTTTCCCCTGCATGTCAGTGCTGAGGTGTTTGATCACCGAGTCATGCTCAGCCAGTCATACATAACATGGTAGCAGACCCCGCTGCTGAGAAAATAGTTTATAAAATAGCAAACAAGTTTCCCAGACGAGGTTTTATAGGAAGCTTGTTTACTTTGAGCTGTTCAAACATCATCGTTGTTTTACAGCACTTGGTTTGGGCTGTTTTTTATTGTTTCAAAATGCCTTAGAGCTCAATAAGCAGTGATAAATGAGGAATGTTAAAAGCCCATCCTAACATGGACAGATGTCTGAGACGCTCCTTTCTGTTGTTTATTTATTTATTTTTTATTTTTTTGTTTAGGTACAACCCAACCAAACTAACCAGGAGAAGATGAAGTGCCCTCATCATTGCACTCCAGCCTTTGGCTTTTGAAAATCATTTGAAAATAAATCCAGCAAAAAACATCATACATGTCAAATACATGCAAGTTTGTGTTTTAGCTGTTTGCAGTTGTTGCCGCTTGTTCTGGCACGTTTCTAATAAAGTCACTGACAGCCAGCAATGTAACAAGGAGACACATTCAGAGGATTTTTCAACTTTTTTTTATTTTTGAATAATAAAAAATAATTAATACAAAACATTAAAAAAAATATTTCGCTTGTATGACAGATTATACATGAAGACCATTGCCTTTCATTCACTTTATTTCTATTTCCATGCCTCTTGAGAGACGGGAAGCAGGGGAGAATTCAAGCATTGCTTTTTTCTTTTTCTTTCAGCTATCTCAACCCTTCAGGCACTTTTCCATTTTTTTAAACAGTTCAAATGAGTTGTTTTCTTACCAAAGAAACAACAGTTGACCTTTCCGTGCACATGCTTTTTACTTTAAGAGAAGGTTCTTTGTTGAATTAAGTCAGTATTTGGTATGAATGTTACAGCAATTAAAACTTCTTCTTTCTCAGAAAAGCTACAGGCTGTCCAGGAGAGTTACCAACTGGCTCTAAACATTTATTTCTAGATTCAGAATAAAAATATATGGGATGTTATTTAAGCTTTTACAGTTTGAATTTCATGTCAAAGTCCATACACATCTATGCTAATGTTTCAAGCTCACACATTCAAGCAAAATGGTAATAAAAGAATTAATTCAAAAAGCAGTATGTCTCATCTTGAATTCTTCTATCCCTGTGCAAATAACATCCTGCAGCATCACTCTTCCAACACCTATATGATTTCACTCTCATCAGCAGTCACTGCCAGGCAATGGCTCATGCCGATATACATGTATTTTGTATTCTATATTGCAATAAAACAAAGCGAAAGAAAGCAGTTAGTTATATGGTTGAGCTGAAAATGACGGTTAAAAACCGCCAAGGTCTGTTGTAAGCAGCTGATTTTGGTTCCACTTAGATATTTTGTTACGGTAGTTGGAAAAAGTAAATTAACTACAGAAATGGTAATTTGCTACTACATTAACCAACTTAAATGACTGAGTTAGCAGCAGAAGTTGACCCTGCAATCGAACTAAAGGGTCACATCAAAAGGAAACAAAAGAACAGTGGAGTTGTACATCTCAGTTCCTTTGTTAAATCATCAAAAAGTTAACATTTTGCCATAATTTAACTCAAAAATGAAACTCGTAAGATTTATTCCACACAGTGGAATATATTTCAAGCAATTCTATCTGATCATTTTGATGAAAACTTAAGGTAGAGGTTCTCAGAAAGGGAGTAAATTGCATAGCGCTAATAAATTAAGCCATTTTTATTGTGTATATATTGATGTTCAGGGTATTCACTTTACTTTATCCTTTTTTCATGACCTGCTCTCTCTCTGTTACATGGCCTGGAAGTGATAAGCTTGTGGCCCTACAGAGTTGTAACAGAAGCTCACAATGCTTTGAAATCAGCCTTCAGATTATCTGCACTGTTCTGTCTTGTGTCCCTCATCTTCATTTTGACACCTCCCCATAGGTTCTCTATGAATCAGCATAGTGATGCCATACTCATTCTTCTAAATAAATGCTTCATAAAGCTGCACCATATCCTGCATATGACATCAAAACACTGATCATCACTGACTGAAAACATAACTTCTGTTCCTCTAGATTCTTACTTCAAACTCTGAGACCTTGATTTCCAATTTGAAAATTGGAATTTTGTACCACTGCACTACATTCCTCTCTTCTTTTTTAAGATCAGAATAGATGCTTTCTGTTTCACTAGCTTGCTTGCTGATTGTGAAAGCTCTGACTTCAGCCTCGTTCAAATTTTATGGATGTTCCTTTAACGTTAAGGTTTCAATACTTTCCAAGTTGTGTTTGTCGCCGCTTTCTGTACCCGTTTCAATGATCCATGCTGAATGCTAGAATCTTCCCTCTGACTAATCTTGCTATGGATAACATTTTTGCATTAAAATACTTTTCCTTTATTAATTATGCAGGTCATCTGAGACACTGTTTATTTTTTTTTCTTTGATGTATTCCTTACATTATTCGATATTAAGACTTTAGTGGTAAAAATGCCCTATATTTATGTAGTGTTTTTTCAAGCCATTCAAGCACACTGATGGTGGCAAGCTACATTGTATCCACAGCGGCCCTGCATCCGACGCCACTGTTGCCCCAATGACATCACTCTGGCATGAGTTTTACCTTCTTAAATTACTTTTTATAAAGATAAAGTTTTAATAATATTCTGGTTGAGATGTAACTAATATTAAAAAAAAAAATCAAAGGAAATGATATATAACAGCCATCTAATCTTTTTTTCTGCCGTCTAATTTGTACTGCCGTAATGATAAACAGCAGAAGGCAGAATTTATTCATTAACATATACAAATGTAAGAAAATCAAAATGTGGTACATTCTTTCACATTCTTGGGTAACTATTTTCTATTGCATTGAAGGATCACTAATAATAGATGTGGCTGTTATGATAATGCAAGTTTTATAAGTATAAAAAATCCGAGGCTGAGGTCTGAACTGGTTAGGTTAAAGAACCTAAGATGCTGGATGGTTTTAATGTAAAATAGGAATATAAAAATAGAAGGTGAGACTGATATCTGTAGGTAGTAGATTGTAACACTGGCTGTTTTATGTTTCCCTCTACCTATTCGCTGTTAATTGAAACCTCACAGCCAATAAGATTATTTAAACATCAGAATGAACTTTTTGGCTTTTTATTTTTGTACTCGAAAACTAGCAGGGAATCTTATGGTGGCTTTATTTTCTACATTTAGGTCAGTAAGTGACATAACTGGGATCTGAAAACGAATTCATACTCAAAAAATTTTCACATTTGATCATGTTATAAACAAATTTTTGTTTATATTGTTTGGATTTTCAGTGACAGAGCAACAAAAAGTATTGCTTATTGTGAAATGAAAGAAAGATATATTTTTAAGAGGTTCCTAAAACGTAGATTGTGGCTAATTCAACCCAGCTCCTCTAATATTTTAACCAAATCAAGTGCTTACTGGTGTATAGTAACAAAAGATCTGTGAACAATCGTCATCATGAACACCGAATAACAGAGGAGTGAAAGGATAAGGCTGTGGAGAAGCTAAAAATGGACAACACAACAAAAAAAACCTGTAACGCTTTCTTTACAGTACATCAGTAACCATGTAATGACATGGTAATAACATAGAAAGTTACACTATATTACTAAGTGACAAGAAACACTTTATGGAGAATTTTAGTAAGTGTGTTGCTTCAAATTTTAAACTCAGACTCGGAATATTTTTAACTAAACTTATATTTATATGTCTTTTGAGTTCAGATTTATAATGTATTATTTACCTGATCATAAGCTACACTTTACTTTGTAAGCCTTTCGTAGGTGGTGGCCTATAATACAAACTGTTATGTGGTACCCTAATGGTAATTACCCACCAAAAGTCCCAATTGTTACATATTAACATACAATTATAATAATTACATGAAGGTAATTACTTTGAAATTATATACCTTAATTTGGGGGTAATTACCAAATAAAGTTTTTCTTCTTACCTAGTAATATAGTGTGACTTGATCTGTTACTGGCTTGTTATTACATGGTTATTGATGTACTGTAAAGGGAAGCGTTACCAAAAGATCTAATGTATTTTGTTGCTAAGTTATTTAGTAATAAATAGACTAGCCTGACCCTGTTCACTATAGTAATGAACCATGGTCAGCACTGTGGAGGGCTGTGCCGTGATGCAATAACAACATCACAGAGCCGCTGTGAGCACCAAAACCAGAATGGAAGTCAAAAAAGGTTGTCAGATAAAATGCTATAAAGTTAATTGGTTAAACAGTTTTAAAATGCACTTTATTTGCATAGAAGAAAGCATTTTAAGTTGTGATTTCAAAATAATTGTACTAAATTGGCTTTAATTACCTACATGATATTCTAAACTGAAAATCTACTGGAATAAAAAGAGAAAAGCTTACTAAACCGATACTGTAATACCTCTTTCAGACATTAGCGTGTAGGGTCAGATGTTATTCATCTGTTGCAGAACCCGCTCATGACTGGTACTTGATATGCTTTGCAAATGGGATCAAATTAGTGTTAACATCTAGGACATGTCTACAGTTATGGGCTGTAAAGATAAATATTATCTAAACTCCTTTGTTTTAAATATGTAAACTGCCTGAAGACACACCGTGAAATGACAAATAACCCTGAATAAAACTAGGTTCCATACTGTTATGAGATGACAGATCAGCTATATACCATTGGCATGCGGTATCCTGAACCTAAAGAGACTTTATTTGAAGTCAGACAAATGTTTGTACATCCATTGTTATTTTGGCTTCATGAACAAATAAAACCCATAAGCCTCAATAATAAAACACTGCATCAATGATTAAAGTAGATTAAAAGAAAACATGTTTTACCTGGGGGGGTTTCTCCAGGAAATTGTGCGTTAAGACTTGACTCATGTTTTACTTCATTGTTTTTCAAATGAAGCTGTTCCCTTCACTGCTGAAGAGCTTTTCTTTCTTTTTGAGTCTTTTCAGCAGACAGGAGGCAATGCCTAAAGCACCCCCCTTCAGAAATCGAACAAAGTTGTCTCCCACTAACGGGCCCATGGCAAACAGCCCTGGCTCCTTGGTGCACTCAAAAGTGTAAGGGTTTATGTCGATAGGGTTCTGCTTGCAGGAGATGGGATTTGTTGGATCTTGTCCCAGGTACTGGCCCTGACCTTTCAGGAAGAACAAATTTGGATTGGTCCCAATCAACACCAGGGCCATTGAGATCTTGAACGCCTTTAGAGAGTTGTCCCCTTGTAGCAGACACTTCATGTCAGACTGAAACGAGACCACACAGTGCTCGGGGAAACTGGTGTAATCAGGGAAGAGGTTGACACTAGAACCTCCAGTGATACTCCCTGCAGAAAGCTGGGGTTTAGGGCACATCTTGGCGCATACTGAAGAAGCAACACTAACTGCCTGGGGTCTGTTAGACGAGGACGAGGAGACCACATTATGACAGGTCTGGGAAGACATCATGTTGTACACTTTGTGGTATTCTGGGTACAGGGTCTTGGGAAGCTGCTTAAAGATGAGATCTGGGTTGTCAGTGTTCTTCCGGAAAACATGCAGTACTCTGATATTGCTGTTACATGCACACAGAACTGCATCAGCTGCACTTAAACCTGCACCTACAACTAAAACTGGATCAGAGTTTACATCAAGTTTTCCCTGGCTTACAGCCAAGCCCAGGTCTGAGATGCTGTGGAACACAAACGGTAGATCTTCCCCCTCTACACCCAATCGGACTGGAGAATCTGATGCACCGGTAGCCAGGACAACATTCTCAGCAAACAGGGAGAATGGGACATGAGTGTCACTCTGTAGCTGCCGATAACCTCTGACTTCCCAGAGAGTTCCTCCTCCTCCATTGTTTTCCCCCTCTTTGTCGTTCTCCTCAAAGTGCCCGTTCTCACTATCAACCGTCTTCTGATCTTCTTGCCCATTCTCTAGCCCTTTCAGCTCTTGCCCACGGCAAAGTTTGTGAACAGAGGTAACGTATGTGTTGTCAACAAAATTCTTTTGCAGACCCTTTAGCTTCACATAGTCTTTGTAATAAGATGAGATCTCCTCAGGGGTGGCTCTGTCACTTGTCACATTTCTAAAGAAGGAGATGTGTACAATCAGAACATGGGCACAGAATAAAGCTAAAGCTTGGGCCATCTCAGTAATGTTAAGACCGTTTTACCTTCGCAAACCATTGGTCAGGTCTCTATAGTTGACTCCGGGAAGCTCCATCCAAATGCCAAGGCTAACAGTTAACATTGAGCCTTCCATTGCCTAAGAAGAGGCAACCAACAATGTGATCAATGTGAAATAATCTGTTAGGACAAAACCCCAGATAATTACGCGGATTCTGTAGAATGAACTTACATGCCAGGCACCCCCAGGTGTTCCCTTTCCCAGAACCAGGTGTGGGATTTGTTGATGCTTGTCTTTCCTCCATTTGAGGACTGGTGGGAAATCATAGCCAAAGTCAGCATTGGGGTGTAGTAGTGTATCAAATAGCACAGCAACGGGATTCCTTGACCTCCCCTCAAGACCTTCGCTCAAATATTCCATAGCCTGGGAAAAAAAACAAGAGTCTGTTGACACACCTGAGATCCATGTATTAAGAGCTCTTGTGTGAAGATGGAACTTTTTCTGCCTGTTCAGTGATGGGGATGTGCTTGGCCTCCTGCAGTTTCCTGTACAGAATGGGGTTAGGGTGAACCGTCGCAGTATCAAAATAGGGCTTGTATCCACTTAACAGGTAGGACAGGCAAATACCCGATGGGCCATTTCCTGTAAACAAATAATTGGAAACTCAGATACAACTAATACCAATATGGAAAGAACAAGGTTGGCCTGATGAATGTAATCATTTAATTCACCTATAATTACCACAGGAAGGGTAGGTGGGTGTTCTTGAGGCAGAGTGGTCTCTTCCAGAAGAGGCATGACTGCAGCCTGGGCCAGAGCCGGCACTGAGGGGAAAACACTAGAGATATGGGAAAGGTTCCAGATATTTCTGGACTGACCTATCAAACATTCAACTAAACGTTTCATTCATGCTTTGTCTCTCTTCTGGGTGAGATTATTTCAACAGGTTTGAACTGGTTTGCTGTCTTTGTCTATTGATGTTGTTTTTATCTTAGATCCTGTCTCTGTCTACCATCACCAGCTGACTCAGAAACATACACAGAGAGGGAGAAAAAAAAAACTTTTTCTGTGGCATTGTGTTTCCATACACATCATTGACCCACCCTGTCTGTCTGGGCCTTCAGCCACGTGGAAATACCCCGCCAAAACACAACGTGCCCCCTGATTTTTTTTCCAGCGCTGTTCATTGAAGTCCATACACACCCCCTGTCTTTTCACTCATGGCCCGTGGCGAGGCTAGCCTGTATTAACCCCACCACTGCGCCCAAAACAAAAGGGAGTTCTCATGAGATAACATGGGCCTGGGTCAGTTGTGAGCATGCGTGGTGTGATTTTGTGCGTTTCGGGACAATGCCATTGTGTGCCCGTCGGGAAACAAATCCCCTCTGATCACTTATCCAACTGGGTCCTAATCCCACTCTGGCTGTTTATGTCTTTGCTGGGTGAGAATGTGGTCCTGGCATGCTGACAGACTGAACCACTCAAACATAATCTGGCCAAAAATGCTCCCACCACTGCAGGCAAACATCGCCCACTTGCCTCACATTTATGCCAACCAAAGCACTACCTGTAATGAGTTACAGCCTGAAAACCCACATATACATGCACACAGTACCCCCTCCTCCTGTCTGACCTCTGTGTACAGCCAACTGGCTATATGCATTGGCTTGTTTACACATTTAGGACAAGACAGTAGGATTCCATACATTCCCTGACCTGTTTGGCCTCCAGCTGGCAGGGAAGTAGAGATATATCCTAGTTTCAGTTGAAAGCTGTTATAATGGCTATATAATCACTTTCATTCTCCTGTTGGGACTTTCTCTGGTTATACTTAGTTGTTGTGTTTTTTCTATCTTGGACTATGCGGCTTAACAGCAGGCTGGACTTTGGACCTTCTCATTTTTCATTAAACAAATAATATCAGACAAAAATCAGCAAATATAATAAAAATTAATAAAAAACACAACTTTCAAGGGATGTTTTTTAAGGTAAAAATAATAAATAAAAAATTCAAACCAATTGGATGTGAAAGAGTAATTTCCCTCAGAGACCACTGTCTTCTAAAAATGACGGATTACCTTTGATTACAACAAAACCTAATTACAGCCAGACCTGCAGGATCAAAAACAGAGTACAACAAGTTGAGGTTCAAGGTTCATAATTTGAGAAGCAGGACTAAAATACCAGTTATGGGAGATATCTGTAGTCAAAACAGCCAGGCAATCAGTTTAGGATCATAAACTTAACCTGGGTTTATCCACCAGGGCATGAAGCACACTATTGGGTACTTGTCTTAATAGCTAGGGGGGGGAAACAAAACTACCTGAAGGTTTTGGAATGGTCTAGTCAAAGTCTGCGCTTAAATCCAGTTCAGATGCTGAGCTGTGAACTCAAATAGGCTATTTGTGCTGAAGAAAACTGAAAAAAAGAAACCAACTGCATTAAAACAGATCTACATAGAAGAGGGGGTCACATAATTTCCTCCACAGCAATGTAGAGGAGCCACTGTCAGCTATCACAAAGGGTTATTAGTTTAATAGACACCTAACAGGTCAGTTTAGGAGCATATTCTCTTAATAGATAAAACCAAAAATTAAAACATGATTTTTATTCTCTCATAATATGGCGATCTAAAAAATATGTGTGTGAAAAATCAAAATAAGAACAAAATGAGGGACAGACCATTGCAAACCTGGAAATAAGAGGCTAATCAGGGTTTACTTGCAATCTCTTTAGATAACACATTCATTCAACAATCCCATTTGCAAATGGAATAAAACTGTTCAGCCAAACAGTTTATGGCTGTTTTTTTTAAACAGTTTGTGCAGTCTGTCTATCTGCTTTCTCGCATTTGCAGGTCATACATGAAATACCTTTACTCTAAAGAGACAGGAAATGATGCAACAACTACTTTCCAAAGCATCATGTGCATGTGTTTTCAGATGTTACATCACAAAAGGATACTTGTAGGCAGCATATCGACATATGGTAAGGAGCATAATGTCTGTGTGTGTTCGGGGTAAAATTACAATAGGAATAAATAAAAAGTTAAACGGAATGAAGTAAATGGGACAAAAAAAAGTCAAACTTCTGATGAAGACCATTATAGTAAGATGGAAAAAAAACATGGATTTTAGATTCAATTTCTGGAGCATTCCTGCTTTTTATTCTGATGTTTATTCTCTATCCTTTTGCAGCACTTTTCTTGAAGAAAGCTCTATACTGACAAGTTATGTTGAAAATAAGTTAAAGGTCTTTTCAGATAAGGAACAAAGCATTACTCAAGCATTTAGACTCAGAAATACAGTTACAACACTGCAAAAAGTTGAAATCTAAATAAGTCTTTTTTTCTTAAAATAAGGGATTTTCGTCTTACGTTGAGGAGGTGAGTGACACAGTTTGCCAATGGAACAAGACAATTTACATTGAAAATAAGAAAAAAAAAACAATTGTATTGTCTTATTTCAAGTGCATATTATCTAATTATTGTATTTTTAGAGTAAAAATCCTCTTATTTAGCTCAATTTGAGTTAGCTTTAACTCAAATTGAGTGTAAATGTATTTAATTTAAGAATGTTTTACTTATTTCTAGATTGTTTTTGCAGTGAATATAGTTCTGATTTCATACATCGATACATGCCTTATCTAATCATATCGGTTGCTTGCAAAATCAAACTAAATCAAATCTGGGATGTTGCTCAAAGACCAGACCGGATGAAGTGATGCAGCATGCAGCATCCTCACTGTAACAGGCTCCAACATCCTCCTGCTCCTTCAGACTCAGTGCAGCTTCAGGTCCATTAATAAGGAGCACGTACCGCAGACGCTCGTTTTCATCATTGCATAATTTAGGTCAAGCTTCCATCCATTCGCCTCTTACCGTGTTCAGATTTGTTTTAATTGCGTCCACGCTCAGTCGCGTCCAGTTATCACGACCCACGGTAGTCCCGTTCAACCGTATAAATAGACACAGACCGGTGGGAGGATCTATTACTGTCTGGGGTCTCTTGAATGAGCTGATGAGCCAAACCTCTCCCCCGACATCAAACGCGCACACATACAAACTCTCACCTCTGCACGGTCAAATCCGACCAGACCCAGAGTGCGCAGGTCTGATCAGCCTGGAAGTTTAAACTGAGGGTTGGATCTTCGAGCAGCGGAGTGTGAAAGAGACAAACCGGGTGATGCGTCTGCTTCTCCACAACCACATGCGCATCTCGGCGCGCGCGGCGTGAGCGCGTTCACGCGACCAGATCAGAGCATCGCAGCATCTTCACAGCGCCGCTCACCAAGCAGCCGCTTTTACCAACAACACACTCAAATGTGTACTGAAATATATATATAAATATTTGAGTTACACTTTACACATCACCTTTTTCACATTGTGTCACGTTGCAGCCACTATTGTGTTGTGATATTATGAGATACAAAGAAATTAATTTAATTTTTTTTAGTTCAAATAAAAATCTAAAAAGTGTGCCTTTCATTTCTCTTCATCCAGGTTTATGAAAATACAGTGCAATCAATTATCATCAGATATTTTGTAATTGGTAAACAGATTCCACTCACAGAGGTGGTTATTTCATAAATATACCAGTCAGGGAATAATAAATGTAGTTCATTGGTTTTTTCTAAAGATAACACTTTAAGATGCTAAAGGAATCTTATGGAGCATGAATTCATTCATGCACTCATAAAAATGTTTACCCAAATTTTAAGATTGATGGAATTTTATTATTAAAAAAATTGATATTTGCTTCTTCTTTTAACTCAAACCTGTGAAATAAACATCAAGTGATGCATATGCATTAGTTTATTATACAGAGAGGAAAATAAGTATCTGAACACCCTGCTATTTTGCTAATATCCTACCTAAAAAATCATGGATTGGTCAGAAATTGTCATCCTAGGTAAAAGTCCATGTGAGAGACATAATCTAAAAAAAAACTATCCAGAATTGATTTATTTGTATGATACAACTGAAAATAAGTATTTGAACACCTATCAACCAGCTCTAACCATTTACCCTCAAAGACCTGTTAGTCTGCCCTCAAAATGTCAACCTTATTATCCTAAATTAGATGCACCTGTTTGAGGTCGTTAGCTGCATAAGGACACCTGTCCACCCCATGCAGTCAGTAAGAATCCACCTACTAACATGGTCAAGATCAACACTAGAGACAAGATTGTACACCTCCTCAAAGCTGGAAAGGGCTACGGGGAAATTGCCAAGCAGCTTGGTGAAAAAAGATCCACTGTTGGAGCAATTGTTAGAAAATGATGTATGTCTATCATACATTGGTTTAATCTTAGACTAAGACGAAAAAGTTACCTCAGACTAATTTTATGTTTTTCCTATGCTACTATAATTGTTTTAATTAAATGTTTATTATAAATATGGTTCCAGCAAGATGATCCTTTTCAGCGCTACTTCTTCATCCAGGTAAAACACATAAATATACAAAGGCTGGTAAAGGTGCGTCTCCGATGTTTTATGATAAAATGCTTTCTACACCTAATCTAAAAAACACAGTCATGTTTTCAGACGCAACAGAGGAACAATAGAGGCGGGACATCAATGAAGCTCCGCCTCCTCATCTCATCATCCAATCAGCTGAGAGGATTTATCACTTCCGGTTGTTTTTCAGACGACCTGAAAACACATGTTTGTTAATAGCTAGCGATGGAAATGAACTACAAAAAGCGAGCCTAAACGTATCTGAGAATGGTCTACATCAGTAGAAGTTGTTTTCGGAAGGTAATAAACACTTGGTCCCGGGTGTTATGCTGAATGATTTATCGTTGCGGTTGTAAACTAAATGACATTAGCAGACAGAGCTAACAGTTTGATGTTAGGGCAATGTTAAAATCCTACAGTCATACGTTTATTTGCTAATTGATTCTGGGACTGATATTTACTTAGATGAAATGCTTTTCTCCAGACAATTTATTGTGTTGTTACACATTTTTACTTTCTTCACTACCATCGGGGCTGTATAATACCTTCAACATCACCAAGTATCCCATAATTAAATCATGCCAACGTTTTTGTGTAGTACTTATTTATTGCGATTTGCAATTCTTTTAGGGCAAAAGAAGTCAAAGCTGTTGAGCTTGTTCCACATTTTTCTTCTCGCTGTAACTTCTAAGGTTTCATAGAGCTGAACAACAGGCGCGGAGCTAGATGGGGGGCCAGAGGTGGCCATGGCCACCCTTACCCAATCATTTATTTCCCTCTAATACAGATGGTGGTAATAATCTCAAGTGGAATATTCAAAACATTTACATTTTGCATATATTAACAATGACTTGACAACAAAAACACTGTGGTTAATTATGCACATCAATTGTGAATTTGAAGGAAAGTTAAACAGTTGCTGATGTATTTTTATGTCTTGTCTAGGTAGTGCTTGGGAGTGTGTATATCACACACCTATCTGTACAAGGACATACTAAATATATACATAACAAAGATTAAAAGCAGTCCATGTTTTTATTCAATTATTTTTATAAGTTGTCTTCAAATGACATTGGGGAACGAATTGTTCGATTTGTGGTAGGAACCTTAAATCTTTGGATCAATCAGTGCATGGGGAGCGACTGATAAAAACTTTAGGTAAATGTGTCAACATTATGCTTAAAAACGTACGTTTTTATTCAAATACATTTTTTTTAGGCTTCCTTTACTGAGGCGCAAAAGTAAATAATAAAAGTCAGCTGCAGAAAACCTTACATATCCAAATCACTATGACTGACTCTTTTATAGCAAGAAGGATTTCGATTTGTAATTATGACACATAAAATAGATTTATGATATTTTTAGCACGTCAACACAAAGTATAAATATGTATTTAATAATTTTTTTTCCAGCTCTATTGTCATTACACTGTCACAAGTACAGAGCAACGAAATTAACCTTCTGCATTTAACCTATCCCCTTGGGGAGCAGCGGGCTGCCATTGTGCGGCGCCCGGGGAGCAGTGCCCAGAGTGCCAGTCCGTGGAGGTTGGACTTGAACGCAGAACCTCTGTAACTCAAGCGCAATGCCCTAACCACTCGGCCACCTCCCCTCTTAAATTATTAATTATTTAGATAGAAGATATTATTTAACTTAAAATGTTATGGCCTTTCTAAAGCGGTTCTACAGTATGGTCTTCTTTTTATTCAGGGCTGCTCACCTCTAGCCCAATCTGCTGGTGCAGTGATTGACGTGCCGGTTGGTCACCTCAGGGCACAGCCAATTAGAATCAGCCTCTTAATGATGCCAATTGAACAAGTAATAATTCTGCTTAAATCTAGGAAAGATGCACAACCTCTGGCAGAACCTCTTTGTTAGTAAGCAGTGCACAACACAGTTGAGAGACAGAAAGCAAACTGTCTCTAGGTGAAAGGGATACAAAGTTAGGCTGAACCTGCTGCTTGAGGTGTGTTTATCATGTGACAGTCTGGATACCGTTTATTTACCTGCAGGGCAGAAGGCATATTTTAGGAAAATAGGGAGGGATTTTTTTTAATTTTTACTTTATTGCCTTAAATACAGATTAACAGGCAATTAGTATAACAAAGAGGAACATGAAAAAACAGGTCTGTACTCCAACGAAGTATATTTTAGTCTCAGAAAAAGTCAAAATAATGATAATAGTAGTAATAATATTAATTATACTTGACTATAGTGTGTGTTTAAGAGTCCTAAGCAATATACTCAATAACTTGGGTGCATATTCTCATAAATACAGATACTTTTAGGTGTAATTGGGCAGTTATATATTCCATCATGTAAATATTTTTTACTTTCTGTATCCACTGAGAGCTCATAGGATTTTCAGTTTTCATCCAATTAATGGTAATATTTCGTCTTGCAATCATCAACCGAATAAGTCATATATATATAACATTGTTCTGTGGGAAGCAGATGGTCAGGGAGCACATCCAATAGAAATAACAGCGGTCCAGAGGAAGGTCCACTGCCAAGATTTTTTCCACTTCTTTTTTGACACTTTTCCAAAAATGTTTGTAGTGTTGGGCAGTCCCGGAATATGAGTATGATCACTGACAGGGAGGGAATATTTTAGCAACTTAAATATCAGACTTGTTTTTTTTCTCTAAAAGCATTTGTTTTGTATAAAAATAAAAGTTTTGCACCATAAGTTTATAGTTGGAGGGGCCCTTTCCCCTCCCATGCATGATAATAGGTTTCCTACACAAAAAGCACTTATAATGAAAATTCTCCTGTTTTAATGATTCCATACAGTATGGAAACTTCATGGACAACCTCCGTTTGTATGTACGCGGAGGCACCGGCGGGATGGCTCTGCCCCGTCTGGGAGGACATGGAGGAAACGGGGGAGACGTTTGGGTGGTGGCAACCAAAAACATGACTTTAAAGAAGATCAAGGATAAATACCCGCTCAAACGCTTCCTAGGCGGACCAGGAGGCAACAGCAGGTCTGCTTCTGCAACCAAAATCGAAATCTTTATTCTTACTGCTCACAGAAATATAACCATTCCACTTATCAATCATCGCTTAATGAGTTTGTTGGTCAGCAGTGTTTTTATTTCATTTTTACACCAGTGTCCGAGCGCTAAAGGGAGAGAGAGGGAAGGATGAAGAAATCCTGGCACCTGTTGGTATCACCGTCACCACTGATAATGGCAGATCTATTGGTATGGGAGAAATCTATCATATGTCAGAAATTTAGTTTTAATTTAAATATTTGTGTTTCTTTGGCAAAACCATATTTTTCTCATCAATTCTTCCGCAAGGGGAACTGAATGCTGAGGGGGACCGGGTGCTGGTGGCGAAAGGAGGATCTGGAGGCACTCCTTACACTGGCTTTGAGCCCAAGAAAGGCCAGGCCAAACACATTAGGCTGGACCTCAAACTCATTGCCGATCTGGGCCTTGTAGGGTGAGAGCAGATCTCACATTAGCAAGTTTTGAATGTTTTGAATTATGAGAACAAATTTAAACACATTTAAATCGTGTGATGGTGTGATTAAGACTTAGGACAATTCTGTATGTTGAAGAAATACTGAGCTATATAAAGGGCAATGCTTTAGTTATCCATTGCTAAAAACCTTAATGTTGCAAAAAGGGCTTAGCTTTAACCAGGAAAGCGTTCCCTTTAAAGTTACATTTAGATTTTTGTTTGGTCTATCACACAAAATCCTTTTTAAAATTTGCAGTCATAGCATGATAAAAAGTAGCAAAAGTCTTGATTCACAATTTACCGTGTCTTTGCTGAAATGTTAATGCTGCATAGGTCCTGATTATCTTAAAATTGGCTTCAGGTTTCCAAATGCAGGAAAGTCATCCCTCCTCACAGCCTTATCCAACGCCTCACCTGAGATTGCCAGCTATGCTTGTAAGAACATACACTTCAAAGCTCAGCAAATCCGTCATTCTTTTTGTTTCTAAAGTCTTTGTGCTTATCTTTCAGTCACAACTTTACGGCCTGAGATAGGCAAGCTGATGTACCAAGATTACAAGCAAGTATGTGAATTCTTACTAGTGCCTAGATTATGTTATTTTTTCCTTCCAAAAAAGTTAATAAACAATCTATTGGACTTTTTTTCCCAAGTTATAAGATGTTTTGTTTTACATCCAGGAAGCTTTTTCAATTAAAAATGTCAGAATTAGCATTAAGATCCAGGCTTAAATGAGCCCAACAATGCTAAGTTTTGGCTTAGACTTTGTTTTGAATGTTTTAATTTTTTTGGAATGACTAAGACCTGGATGACTGAGAATCTTCACAGCATACATTATTTTTTTCTTTTGTTTCCTTCACTGTTGCTTTTATTTTGGCAGATCTCACTTGCAGATCTGCCGGGACTGATCGAAGGGGCTCACATGAACAGAGGCATGGGCCACAAGTTTCTGAAGCACGTAGAACGGACCAAACAGCTGCTGTTTGTGGTTTGTAGAAACCAAAATAACTTTCAAGGCTGATGTGTCAGTGTTGCTGGTTTAACTAGCGAAAGACAGCTTGGGTTTAGGTTGCTTACTTTTCTTGCAGGTGGATGTAAGTGGTTTCCAGCTGGCTAGTAAAACACCGTTCAGATCTGCTTTCGAAGCTGTGCAGCTCCTTACTAAGGTAAGTCTAATGCTGCAAAATGTTTGCATTGTTTTTGGGTTTTTTTTCTCCAAATCTCACCTGGTATCAGGTTAAATATGATCTCTTATATCGCTTAATAGAAAATCAAGTTTTTCCTAATATAAAAATATAAAATAAATGTTTGCTCACTTTATTCTCATTATGTAAATGTTGTAAATCCATCCATCCATCCTGCAGGTTCCGAAACTCTGACCTTTATAAAAATACCTGCCATAAATTTACTGTTAAATTCGTATTTATAGTTTCACAAAGGCTTTTAAAAAGATAATGAAAACTGGAAAATATATGTCTGACGTAATTTCTTTTTATCTTATCAATTCTCATTGAAGGAGCTGGAGCTGTACAAGGAGGAGCTTGTGTCAAAGCCTGCATTATTAGCAGTTAATAAGATGGACCTGCCTGATGCTGAGGACAAACTAGAAGAACTGAAAGAGCAGCTGCAAAACCCAGAGGGTAAGTTCAACAGTGACCTCTGTTTGCAAGATATTTACTTTGGATGTTAATCTAAATAGTTCAAAATGGTTATCTTTAAGTCTCTGGATTTTTAACTAATTTGACTGAATGTATTTGATTTAGCTGATGTTAGTGTGTAGTGACATCTGGTGGCAGGTACAGATAGTGATTTATTGAGAGTGTATAGAGTGTACAAAACATCTGTTTTGTGATTATGGCAGCATTAAATACAGTATTTTTTATACCCAGTGTTTATGAATCAGTTTGATTAGAATATATTTATGGATTTGCTTGAGTTGAGTTGAAATGATATGCCTTTATTGTCTCACAGTGAGGAAATTCAGGTGTGACGAGGAAAAAACAAAAGAAAGCTTACAGGAACAGATAAGACTGACATAAAAAATTAAAAAAAATTTAAAGGTATTGTGAAGGATTTTCACGAATATTTGAAAAGAACTGCCCTCTCCACTTCCAAAAAGATATGCACATGCACAACCTTGTACCTGCCTATTAAACGTGTGCAAGAGTGTTCACAAGCCCATTTCTCCTCGTGCACGCTCTGTATAAAAAAGCTGTTTGCATCTCTCATACAAGCTTACTTTCCAAAAGAAGAATTGCAATTTTTCCACTATGTCAGACTCACCACCAGTAAATGAAAATGGCGACCAGCACTTAGGACAGCCTTACATAAATATCTCATCAGTATGATTGACAATTAGGAGGACAACTTGTTTTGATGATCCACCCAGAAAAAGAACATCCTCCACTATACCTTTATGTTAAACTGTTCAGAAGAGGAGAAAAACACATCTAAGAAATGGAAAAGATGCCTTATTTATTGTTGTTGTTAAAAAAATCTGGATAAAAGTTAATTTAAAAAAGTTTAGGTTTGTGTAATTTTGCCTGCATATGAAATAGCTCACATTAAAAATCATGTTTGAAAAAAATGTTTATCAAACCTAGCCTGTGTTCTTATTTTCTACCATCCAGAGTTCACTAATTTGCTCCCAGATGACATGATCCCCAATCACTTCATAACATTCAGACACGTGATCCCCGTTTCTGCCCTCACCGGGTTTGGCGTCGACCATCTGAAGAGCTGCATCCGACTCTCGCTGGATGAGTGCGCCACCAGGGAAACCAGCACCGAGCATCAGGAGAAGCTGGAAGCATTGAGGCACCAATACCAGGAAGCGTTTGTGAGAAACGTGGACAAAAATCTCCCTCTTTTAAAGGGAGTCGGCAGGACGCAGTGAGAGATGTCTGGAGCAAACCGTCCAGCAACAGCTTCAATGGAGGGAATATTGCCTACATGTCCAGAATGCAGGCCTGTTTCTTCTTTCTGCTGCAAAGCGATGCAATATTCATACAAGATTCACAAACATTAATATCATATTGATGTGTAAACTTTAAAGCTGCTTTGATACTAAGTGTATGACGGATAACTTTGCATTGAAAACAACTGTAATTGAGGATTAGTCATGTTTGATTGATCCCGACTTAACAAACTTGTGTTTGAATGAAAGTTTTATTTTGTATTAAATATATTACAATACTTAACGATAAAGAGAAAAAATAAGTGGTCTGATTTTTGCATCAATAGTCTGTACAGCACACAGGTAAAAATAATAATAAAAAAAGAACTGCAGTGTTCCTGGAGTTGAGGGCAGACGGGTCTGGCCAGACAGGAGCACAACGAAGTACTTTGTCTGCTCGAGTACACAAATACATTCAAAGCTTCTGGCCAGAGAGGGAGTCCACAGCTCATCTGGAGGATTTGACACTGTGTCCTGTTTGGATTGGTCAGTCCAGCTGTCTGTGCAGGCTGAATCCACAGACAGGTGGGAAGGAGACCCTCCCTGCAGCCTGCATGGTCCTGCCCCTCACAGACTGTGCTCCCAGGGCTGTGCAGTGCAAAGTCCAGGACGCCACAACAAATGTTTTCATCCAACACAGTGTTATTGTGTTAAAACGTTACTCAGCAACTCTAAAGAGGAGGCTTGCCTCAGGAAAAAGGAGCGCAAAAAAAAAAAAATGATACAACAAACCACTTCATAAACAGTTGTATATCCTTTGTACATAATGTCAGGGTTCCTACATGGTCTGTGAAGTTTGTAAAAGTTTGTAACAGGAATTTGTTTCCTTGTGTGGGTCAGTAAAAGAAATTAAATAAAACTGTATTAAAACATTTGTGTTTCCAGCTATTATAATTTTTTTTATTATCAAAGATGAATATGCATGTTTACTTTTTGCTTTGTTTTAGTAATTCTAGATTTGTAATAATCACAACCTACGGTTTCATCTAGTTTATTTGTGGTTATAGTCAATGACTGTAAAGCCACAGATAACATTTATCTAGAGCTCAACATTGAGGACTTTAAAGTAGACTTGTTGTTCTTAAACAATCTGGCTTTATGTGTGGAACAAAAAGGTAAGATATAAATATGGTTTCTCCTTTAAATATTTCTGCTGTTTTTGTCCATTTTGAGATTAAAAAAATACTGACCATAACCACTGTAAAAGCATAATGTTTTCAAATTATTTTATTTGTCGAAGAAAACAAAACCAACCTGGCCCTATGTGAAATTATCCCACTCCAGTTGTTACCAACGGTAGAGCCCCATTTATTAGATTTAGGGGTAATTACTTTTTCAGGTAGAACCACTTTTTTATTGACAATCATAGTAATTTAAAACTACTTTTTATGTATTTGTTTATTTAATCTGAATATCCTTCAGTAATGATGAAAAATGCATGAAGATCTCAATAGAAATGCCAAAACAGAAGAAATATGTAATGGAAGCCCATAATCTTTTTTTTTTTTTTTTACAGTGCCTTATGTCAATATTTTTGATCTTGAATGTCCAAAGTAGGTTTTAAACTGCTGAGCCAATTTGATTCTAAAAGATTCTGGGATTTTCAAATAATCTGTAGGAACCCTGTAATGCTAACACAAAAAAAAAAAAAAAACATACAAAAAGACATTGAAAAACAGGATGTATGAAGCAGTATCAGTTCAGTATTGTGAAGATGGGTTCCCCTATGCAGATCTAATGCCTATTTGGCTTACAAATGTAAAAGCGGAACAGAAACACTAATAAAATGGCAAACTCAGGGCTTTAAGAAGACAGCTTCCACACAGGGCAAAGCAATGGGCCTTAACCGCACATTGGACTTGCTGTTAGGAAGCAGGCACCAAGACGCCCACCTTAAATAGCTGCACAGGTGCCACAGAAACACTACTTTACTTTGTGAAGTCCCACAGCTGAGCGGCAGTGGGACAGAAACCTTACGATGAAGGGAGCAGGGTTAAAGACCTTCAGTGGCATGCTCTTTTTTTCCCCTGTAATGATCTCACAATTAGCCAACCAGAGATATAACCGAAGGTTCGTTATAGAACTGCCATGCCATTGGTCTTCACAAGCTCAAACAGCAAGCACTGTACAGCATAATTAATCATTTACAAAGGCTTAAACATCTCTAACCCTCACAGCTGAATCCAATAATGCACATTTAAAAATATCCAGATCCTGGCACAGTTGAACCGACCATCTCACATTCAAAAGAAGTGAAGGGAGGGATTCCCTGTGAAAAAAAGGGCAGCAGATTTTTTCCCAAACATTCCTACGTACAATCAAGGGGCACATTTCCAAAATACTACATGAGTGCTAAGTGGAACATCTACAAACTACAGCAAACACATCTGAATCCATTTACCTGAATGAGAAAAGACACGGAAAAAAACCCTCAAATCTTAATTATGCTAAAATAACACTTGTCCAGAAACATCTGAGCTATAGTCTCAATGTGTCACAATCATCTGCAAGTTTATCACAGAGATTATTAGAAAATAATGCAAAGATGACATAAAAAGACACATTCTGTTGCTGATGGATAAAGTGAGGACGAACTCCTGGGAACAAAAGAAACCCTCACAGAACATTGCATTGCTTTATATTTATCTACAGACATCAGCCTCTGTCTACAGAAAAAAAAAAAAAAAACGAGAGCCAAGTATTCTCTATGCTTTTGTCTTTCAAAATAAAAGCACAGACATACGCTGTGTGTATTTTACTGTACATATTTACACACACATTAGCAAATTTTTGGGGGGAGAAGAATAAAAGGTGGGCAGGACTGAATCAAAATGTGACTTTTGGGTTATTGATAATGCAGATGCATGCTTTCCCTTCAGATCAAGCTGCTATTCTTGTCTTGTTTACACCAAGAAGATGTAGCTGATAATCAGTACTTCTCTCATGCACACAATGCTGCACTTTCTATATAAACACATCCTGCAAAAATCAGACAGCGCAGACTTGGAGTGATGCCGTGGCTCCTTCTTGCCTCCTCTGCTTTCTTCTAATAGGAGCTCCAAAGGCTTAGGCAGGGTGGGGTGTGTGTCTGCAGAGACTGTGATGAGAGAAAAGCTGGGAAAATAGTATGGAGAGTGGGGTCCGGTTCCATTTATGATGCTTGAGTAAAAACGAACAGCTCGGGCCGAGCTCCTGGAGGCTCGTTTCTCTGCATCTTCTTACAGAGGCCGCCTCAGACATATCTGTACACCCTAACTCAAACGGATTTCCTTCTACTTCCTTTCTATTCAGGGGTCTCACTTTCTCTCTCTTTAGGAGCTGTGGTGCAGCTTTATTAGTTTTTTTTTCTGTTGTCCATTTGTAGTAACGGAGCACGAATACTTCTTTAGGATATTTCTGCAGGGTCAGAGTTATATTGATGTTTCCCACAGCTGGAAAGAAAAAAAGGGAAGGCAAACAAACATAAAAAGAATAAACATCTGCATTAATAATTATAGTGATGTTAATAATTTATTTATAGATCAACTTTCATGATGCAAAAAGTCACTTTAAAAAAATCCATTATAAAAATACAAATCTGGATTAAAAAGTGCAAGATTTTTCAAAGGCTCAACCAAAAGTATTCTTATTTAGTTAAAAAAAAAAAACAAACAAAAAAACATCAGCATTTTTCAGATTGAGCAACATTTGAGTAATATTTCAGTATATTTTGTTGCAATGTTTGTTATGCGTCCTTTGCTATTCTTTACTGTAGTTTTCAGTTTGACATTGTTTAAGTCGCAGATACAATAACTAATATCAAATACATAATTTTGTTGTTCTTGGTTGTTCATCTCTAGTGAAATTCAACTTCTTTTTTTATCTGATTACTCAGAGTCACTTAGATCACTTATGGATGATTTCTCTCTAGATTACGTTTCTCATATTAAATTTGGGGAATTTTTAGAACAATAGTGTTGATGGTTAGTAAACTTTTCACATAAAAACAAACATTTACAGCCTTTCTGTATTTTTTTTTCATTTCCAGTTGACCAAGTCCTTTTGTTAATGTCAGGATACTATTGTCATTGCATAAAAATCATACAATGCATCTGATGTTCAAGTCTAGATCTACCAAGGACCCGGACAGTAGTTGTGGCTAGATTATCCCAAAACGTGGAGAATGGTGTGATGTCATAGTCCAAACTCATTTTCATTGTGGTCATAACCTATTTAGATGTTTCAATCTGGTTTTAAATTGTGAAAACTGAAGGATGCTCACCCTGGCACTCTGCCTATTGGCTTTCCTCTGGTCGTCCGGCAGTGGAGGCATGGGGTATGGGTATCTTCTGCTGGATGCAATGGATCCAGTAGATGAAGTAGGGGACTTGGCAGGGGACAGTGTCCTGAAGTGAAGGAGAAGGTGACACCGTTAGATTTTCTTCTTTCTCCCTTCATATCTGGTTCACGAACATGTTGACCAAAGAAACAGATGGCTAAATGAGGTTGGACACAAATATGCTGAGCTAATGTTAGATCTGTGACTTTGGGCAACATCCTTCCTTAGCTGCTCCAGTAACTCAGTTTCACCTTCATGGAGACAGAAGTTGCTCTTAAAAGTTGAAGCTGCTGCTCACCGAAGGCATAAAAAACTTGACCAGGGCCCAACTCTTCAGAGCGACCTCTGTGCTCAGAGGTTCCCAGCTGCTGTCTTGCTCAAATATAATCATTTAATCGCTCAACAACACAGTGAGGAAGAACTAGAACTGATGAAACAGGAATTTTATTGTGTTGCTGACAGACTGTATCAGTCAGAGAAATGCTAAGTGGGATTTGGACAGCAGACCAGACAGAAGCTGGGAATCAATAACATACAGTGGTGCTTAAGTTTTTCTAAATGCAAATGTCATTATTTTCACAGTAAATGCAAAAAAAGTTGTATTTTTAAAACACCACTGTAGTAAGAACAAAGGAGGAGAGGGAGACTGACATGTGCAGCAGCTTGTACACATGAACCACCTGCTGTGAGATGGTCGAAAAGACTGATGAAAGAAGCAAAGAGAGTGGAGGCCGTTTCTTCTAGATACCTTTCTGCTTCATTTAAATACGTAGAATCAATTTATATTTGAAGGCCAAGTAAATACAGTGCTGTTGGAGACTAAGAACCAACCGTCTTAGGGACAATTTTTACCCGCCAGCAATAATAAAAGTAAATGCAACCAAAAATAACCATTAATCATCATGGAAGATGTGTGTGAGAATGTACTATTCTTATTAGTTGTTTTGTATCAGTTATTGTTATTTATTTCTTATATTATGTGTAAATGGTGGTAACAGTGATTTTTGTTTTTGATTTTAAGCATATGCACTGGTCGATGGCACTTTTTAAAATTTCGTTGTTCTTGTGACAATGACAATAAAGATAAATTGATATTTGTCCAGTTCAGGTTTCTTATTGTTTGGTGTATTTTAATATCATGCTTATAGAGTTCCGAATATAAAAAACATCTAGTATTTGTGTTAAGATTATTATTAAACTTATTAAGGCAACATATTTATTAAAGCTACTGATACATTTTTTTAAAATAAAGAACTACACATAAGCTAAACTATAAATAACTGTGATTAATCACATTAATTATGTTTGCTGTAACTAACTGACCTGCAAAATCTAATCACTTTGACAGAACCTTTGTGACAAAAGGAAGTATGTTAAAATCTATCAAAAAGTAACTAAACATGGTCCAACCCAAGAAATTCAAGACAGAATAGAAGAAAACCTTGATAGGAGTTACGAACCTATTAAAATGACTCCATAAGGGCATCAAAGACCCACCCAGGGGTCACAAAATAAAGAACATTTTAAATACTACAGTCTGTAAGAACAGAGGAATAAGCCTGAGACTAGGTAAAAACAGCCTTCACTGGATGGTTTTGACCAAAAGAAACACAAAGGTCTGTCTCACGTGGACCAAAAACCATCTTAGATTTATCAGAACACTCTGGATGGATGACCTAAAATTGAAAGACTTAAAAAAAAAAAAAGAGAGAGAAAGCCTTTAGATTGAAAAAAAAAAAAAGCATCAAATTGACAAACATGGGGTGGCAGGATTATGATGTGGGGCTGCTTTGCTTATTTAACACTTGGATGACTTCCTGTAATTAATGTAACAATCGATTCTGGTTTAAGTACTCAGGCTCCAGCCCATGTAGGCAATGCATGTACCTCTGAATGACTCCAGAAAAAGGCTCTGGAATCACCTAGTCAAAGTCAGGCTTAAATCCTGTTGAAATGCAGTCGCATGACCTATACAAGCCGATCAAGGTTGAAAAATACTCCAGAATGGCTAAATCATAACAGATAACAGATAAAAAATAGAGGCTAATTGGTGTGGATAGTTTTTTACCTTCATATAATAATATTTTTAAAGCAGCCTTGTGTATTTATTTAAGTCATCTTAAATGTTCCAAATTATGTAAATGAAAAAAGAAGAAAATCTGCAAGAGGGGAAAAGTCTCTTAACAACACAGTAAGTACACATTTTAGGCCTTTTTTTTAGGTAAAGATTGCAGCTGTATCTATTTCCAGGCTCCACATCGCTTTATTCTTTTGTTGGTTTCCTTTTATAGTTGTTGTAAAATAGGGATGGTGAATAATGAGCTTCTGGACACGTTGAAGGTCTATAGATTCCAGTGCTTGTGCTTATCTTTTGGTTATTGGCAGTGAGAAAACTTGCAATGATCTATAGACTTCAGACACAATCAAAGAGTTGACTTAGTTTCAGCGGGATGGGCGTGGTGTCAGAGCTGCAGCCTGAAAATTGTTGGGCCAGCTGTGACATCAGCCTGATGCACGAGAAGTCAGGTGGGGCGGAGCGAGGCGGGGCGGATCCACCAACACTTACTTAAAGAACAACACTGAACATGCAGAAGTAACAAGAGACTGGGGGGAGAAAGGGAGCAAAGAAGGGAATAAGGAAAATTAGGAGGAAAATAACTTTCAAGTTGCTTTTATATGTTGGATTTTTATTTGTGTATGGCATTGGAGCAAAAAATAAAGGCTGCAAATTAAAAGGGGGGCTTCTTAAACATGGTAATAATCTCCACTTACTCTCTTAAATTGTTTTCCCTTCTGAGAATTCAACACAGCAACATGCCAGTTTCTTTTTCTCAGTTTCTTTCAGACTTGTGGGGCCAAATTTGCACAAACTCTTCCCAAACCATACATCAAATCAAAAGTGAGGGAACTTAATACAAGCATGTGAGGTAGGAGCATGATCTAAGTTAATACCTAAGGAAAGGTCCTTCAGTGTTTTTATTCACATCCTCTACCCATTTAGTTACATCATAAAACTCAGTTTTGTTGCGAGGGGTTAAATACCTGCAGGGAGGAGGTGGGGAAGGGTGGGGATCATGGTACCAACAAAGGAGGGGAGAGGAGAGAGAGAGATAAGGAAAGAAGGAAGTGAATACATCTACAAGTAAGCAAATGAGGGAGGATAGAGGAAATATTTATAGGAGAGCAGAGTGAAGATAGAATATGAGCTGCATCTGAGAGAAAGGTGGAGATGTTGAACAGACCTTTGTGCGGTTTCAGACGAACACAGCACCACCACGGACAAACAAACAGTGTTGTGTGTCAGGCTCGCTGCGCTTTAGTCACATCATTCCAACATCATTCCAAGCAGCCAGCTTCTCAGCCACTCAGTCGGCAACATGCTCAGATTGACAGCTAGTGCACCACAGAATGCGTCATTGGCAAAATAGGGTGATAGATTTCAAACAAGCAAACACGGCAGATTGGGGGGGAGCAATCGATGCACGCTGAAGATTCGTTCAAAGTTCATTCAGTCAAAAAAAAGAAAAACAGTGGATTAATTCATAGGCTCGGAGCAAGGCAGCAGTACAGCTTAAAAAGCCAGATAAAACAATCGCCATGATGAGAAGAACAATTAAAATATGTTTTCATTTAGGATAAAGACAGAAGGGTTTCTTTAAAAGTTATCAAACTTAAAGTAAAATAGACTTTTTTGGTTATTAGAACCTGACATCAGATCAGATCAGATTGTCACACTATTTAAAATACTAACTCTAAACAGTGGCATCGCAGATAATTCTCAGTTTTCTTGAATATAATAGAATAAGTTAAAGATTTTTATGTTTATGTATCCTGAGGAAAAAACAGGAATAAAATAGCCAACATTCTAAGATTAAAAATTCCGTTATTCCTCAGATGCCTGGAGTCGCTAATTCACTTCATGCATAAATGTAAACTAATTATAGGTGCGATGTTGAAATGAACGGTCTCTATTTAATTTACCATCTGACTGACAACAAAAACACTAATCATATTTTTTACACAAATGTTTATAAATTTGAGCATTAAAACATCTATAAAACTATATGGGCAAATCCCCTTGTTAAAAATCTGACAATCTAAATTCGACTGCTGACGTCAGTGTTGCATAAATGTCTATTAGGCACAATTCAGGTATATAGCAATCAAGCGAAACAGCACATTGCTGCTTGTTTGCAGAAATACTGTGACACCAGACTTTAGTTTGCTCTACTTTTCTGGATTGAAGAGGATTAGCACTGACTGAAGTGAAGCTGTAAAACTGACAAATAACAGGTGGGCTGGTCTGACCAAGCACAGCCAGTTCTGCTCTGAGGAATTTTTCAGCAAACTGCTTTGAAGAAAAAAAGTTTGAATTATTGGAGAAATCATTTCAGAGGACCTGATATGTTAGAGAAGAAGAAAGACCTTAAAGGGCTTTTTAGTGCATATAATGTTAAAGGCTTGCGAAGGCCCAGCTGGTAATAATACATCCTTGTCAATAAAGTTACTTTATATACCTATTTTTAATAATGTAAAATCCTTAAAAAGTATTTTCAAAATAGGAAATGAGTAACAAAGGACAATAGTGTTAATTTTATTCCTAGAAATCAGTACAAGAAACTCCATCAGGTCTGCTCTGTGGAATTCTACAGCTACACCTTATCATAAGCAATCATTTTTATACTATTTATATTTTTATGGTCAGGTTGTTATCTTGTTTTATTTGTTATATGTTTTAGGTTGTTTTTTTTTTTAAAGTATAAGTTGAAGAAGAGAAGTCCTGTTTGTAATACAGATGTCATGAATTGTTGCACTGATACATGCAGTAATGATGTAGCATATAAATATGCCTAAGCTCAATCGCTTTAAGATAAAAACTGCGCTTTCACACACTATCAACGGATTATTTTCCCTTTTATGTGTTTTACTGTGAAATCAATATAAACACAAAACCTAAAAAGTATATTTTTTGGCAATTTTCAAATTTTTTAAATGCTTCACTACAGATTCTAATGTTGAAACAAATTACAAAGCAAGTAGCGTCTTCAAGTCCTAAAGACGTCCAATGTGTCTGCAGCTATTTCAGCTTTTCCACTGTCAGCTCTGCTAGCGGCTCCAAGAGACGCCCTAAACATTTGCTCTGCTCTCTGATGATTGATGTTTTTTTTCTGTTTGTGCTTCATTTCTCTAATAGTGACTGAAGCAGTCAGTTAATGTGCTGAGGTTATGTGCAATAGTCTGAAAGCCTTATTTTAGGGTGATTGTACCTATATATATATATATATATAAATATATATATAATATATATATATATATATATATATATATATATATATATATATATATATATATATATATATATATATATAAGAAAACTAAATTTAATTTCAGGAGCATGACATTTCTTTAAAAATATTTTATCAATGTCAACTATTTATACATATACATTAAATACTTATAAAAAAAAAACATACCACAAACTCCTTAATTAAATCCATGTGTTACTCTGAGACGGTTGCAAGTATCTAGTTCAATCCCCACTGCCTCCACTGGCAGTGGGGATCGAGTGGCAGCCCATTGCTCCCCGAAGGGATGGGTTAAATACGGAGATAAATTTTTCCAATGCGTGATCAATACAGACAAACAAAAAGTGATGTTAGGTTCCTAATCTACTTTATATATTTGAAAATGTTTCTCTGTCAGCTGTACGTCTGTCTATGTGTAGCTTCATCAAAACTAATTCCTCTTACGTTTTAAATACTCTTTTCTGATACTGATCCATTTACTGTGTCGCCACTAGGCTGCCACGTGTCTCCTTCATGTATTCCTTTGAAAACATTTTTTTTTGTTAAGAAAAAAATGAATCCTCTGCTGATAATAAATCATTCGTATATAAGTAACTGTGCATTCCATTTTAGAAAAAGGCTTTTTGTGCGAAACGGTTATTTTTTAAATTGTTTATCTGGTTTTAAAATGAAATGAAGGGGTAACTGTGAATCTAAAACACAAAATGTTTACTTTTATATATTAATTTAAAACCTAACATACTTTTTTTTTTTACCCAAACTATTCATTTCTAAATATTTTTACTGTGACACTTGTTCAATAAAAAGAACCAGTGAAATAATATGGCAAAATGTTAGATTTAGATTGTTGAATCTGTTGCCATATAAAGGTTGAAATGTGAAATTTAACTTGATGTCTACTTTTTTAATAAATATCCTTCTTAGATTGCCGAGTACACGGCAGCACTGAGTGGAACTCACTCTGTGGAGTTGGAGCGAGCCCTGAACTTCTTTCCTTTCAGCTTCTTCCGATTACCGCTCAGGTTTCCTAGAAAGAAAGTTGGAGCAAGAAAAACAAGACAAAATTATATTTCAATGATGATAAAGGAGGAGATAAATATGGAAAAAAAACTGTATGTTTGTTTCCAGTTGCTCTACAAATGATTCTCAACGATAAAGCTTTGATATCTATTATCTAAATTCCAATGTACAGGAAGCACATCTGCTTCAGGTTATCAGTGCGTCACCTTGCCATGAGTTGCTTCGTGGTCTCCCATTTTCACAGACGTCGGTGATGTGCTTGGCATCTGGAATCCTCTCGCTCCATGAGTGTGACAGGCCATTAGATCTACCCACACATAGCATGAATAGAGCAGTTTAAAAGCTTTTCTTCAAAATTTTCTGAGAACTCTAATGTGAAATGTAGGAAACATTTCGAATGATAAGTAAAGGCCCAGAGCTGTGAATGAATGGAACAGGATGTGAAGAAGTGAGTATGCAGCGCAATGAATGACTCAGTTCTTCATTGCCAAAATATCCTCCATTTTGACATTCATTTTTTTTCTGCTTTGAAAAAAATGCACTGAAAAAAAATGCATCTTAAACAAATACATTATAGCTGCAAATGCATAATATGAAGTCATATTATGAGCAAGAGCTACATCAGCAATTTAAAAATGCTAACTGACTCAAACAGCTGAAAACACGCAAATGGATGAGGGATGATGAAATGGCACACCTGAAGCCAAACACTGAGATGTTCTGAGAAATGGATGGGAAGGATGGAGTGAAGGACAGTGTGCAAATCTGCAGCTGGGACAGGCAGGCTGACCTCTTCTTGGAGCTGCATCCAGAGTTGGTGCTGACACCCGGAGGCATGTCGCTGTAAAAGGAATCTGCATCCCCGGGTTTGGTGATATAGTCACCGGGGGGTATTTGTCTGGAAACACCAAGGGAATATTTTTAGACTCCATATAAATGGACACCCTCAAATTCTCACCAGACCTTGTTTTTGTCTGAATAATAATAAGAAATTTCCTTCCTGTAAAGCTATGTTGTAATGTTTTATACATCACCAAACAATCCACTTACCCCTTTTAAAATGGTCTCAAATATAAATTCATGTACAATTTCTGGAAGGTTAATACTAATAAACTTTAAAAAAAAAAAATGGATTCAGTCTAAAGCTGAAAAAAAACTTATTCTTCCTAAATTTTTCTTCCAAATGCTTAATGTTATTTTTTCTATTCACTCAACATCTACTATCTACATGGTGTTTAGTCCTTTGCTCATAGGGCACATCAACATATGAGAGGAGGAGACTTTAATCTAACCTATTCTTGGCTTCCAAGACAACTACTCTTCTGCCTGAGTCAAAGTTGTCTCATAATCATAGCTGGGAAAAACTATCTTTAGTCACTAAGCGTTATGTTTTTTTTTAACCAAACAATTTCAAAGGCAGGGTGAAAGTAAATTCTTATTCCTTAGTTCTAATCACTACTCTTTACTGTAAGATCTGGGGCATTCAAAAACATTGAATTCCAACCAAACATGAAAACTAAATGGTGTCTTCTCCTTTAAAGGAATACATAAAAATATACCGTTGTGCATTTTGCAACACAAGACAAAACGAAAACAAAATACAGCAATAATGAAAAGCAGCAAACCGGCAGAATTTTCTGTGAACCTCAGACTCATTGTGTCGTCTCTTTTTGTAGCTCCTGTGAAAAGAACAGAATTCTGCTTTTATCTTCTGTTAGCAACATCTGAGCATCACTCCTTAAACCTTAGTTTGCACTCACTTGTAGCACCAGGCAGTAACTGCCAGTATGAGAGCCAGAAATACGATGGAGCCAGTGATGGCCCCGATTATGATGTTGGTGCTGGTGATCCCTGAGGAAGACAGAGGAGGAAGAGATGAGAGTGGGGAGCCAAATTCTTCTCCATTGTTTGGGTTAGTCCTGTGGTCTTGTAAGAAATCGGATCATTAAGGGGAAACACAAACCACAGCAGAAGGAAGTAAAACTAGCGGGAAACGTTTGAAGGGAAGAGAGGGGAGAATAAGCTTAAAAAAGACCTTCACCTTCAGCACTTCTTTTAGGGCAATTAACACAAAGTTCTGCATCCCATTCAGAAGAACAAAAAGTGCTTGCTACTTTATGAAACAAATGCTACAATTACAGAGCACTCAAACTGGGATGAGCGAGGAAAACAACCAGAAAACAGTTAAAGAGAAACTCAAACTCTGACCTCGAGGCAATCCGTCAAAGATCAGTCTGTTGACAAAGAACGAGCATCAAAATAATGACCAAAAAAAAAAAAAACATGCATGATGCAGCTACTTTAAATGCATGGCAGAGTGATAAAAAGGAACAGTAATAAAATGGGTGGAGCTAGTATACAATTATGAGTATGAATTGTAGATAAAAACAGAAAAACAGGAAGGAAGAACGTGAGATAATTTAGTTAGTTTTTTGTTTTTTTTACTCAGAGGCTTTACCTGGACTAGGAGCTGCTAGTCCGTCCACAAGATGACTGAGGAGGGACCTGGAGTAACAGTCGTCTCCTGTCCAGCCCAGGTCACACACACACTTCAGCTCATTACTGCAAACCTACAGAGAGAAGGATCATTGAAGCAGCATGTGGTGGTCAATAAATGGCTGCATGTTTGTGCAGGGGAAAAGTTGCATACTCCGTGTCCAGAGCAGATGGTATTATCAGTGGTCCCTGGGCAGGTGCTGAAGTTGAACTGTTCAATCGATAGACACTTGTGATCCAAACAGATGCTGTCCGTCCCACAGGCTGTCCCATCTTCTACGTATCCTAGGTCTGTGTCTCCGTCAATCAGCACATGCCCCCCACTGAATAGAGGACAGCAAAGAGGAAAGAAATGGATTGGAATGTATTATACCATACGCAGCAGCATATCATACACATGCTGCTGCTCTCCAGTTTAGATCATAACTTGCACTTATAACTTGGTAGGAATATTGTGCATTGTTACAGAGATTAAAATTCTTTGCCACAGAGCAAATTAGCAGCTGTAATCTCTAAGCTGTGTTCTTGGTTGCATACCTGCAGTCCAGGGGGGAACCATGTTGAGCGACAGAGAAAGAGGTGAGTCCTCCCTGCAGCTCTCCCAGGCGTGGGGATGGTGAGATGTTAGAGCACAGCAGGTACCCACAGTGAACATCTCTGAAACACAGGAGGACAAAGACCCCAGATCAGCAGGAGAGAAAACTCTCACAGCAGATGTTTAAAGCAGAGAAAGGATCTGTTACCGTTTGTTACACTGGACCCAGGTGTCCTTTTCCTTCCCACAGTTTCCTTTTTCTGTCCCTTCAATGTTGAGCTTTTCGTAGCAGAACTTGTCGGCTGCTGTTGCCTCTGGTGGAAACAACAAGCAGACAAAGGGTAAAACTCGTCTAATTCAAATCCCGTCAGGTTTCTTCGGTACACTGGCCCAGAAAAATATTAACCCTGCTAAGACTTTTACCAGCAGTTGACTTTCTAGTTGCATGTATCAAGTTAAGTGTAATTTGCAGGGATATTACAAAACACAAAGTAGTTTGTGTTTGCAAAAGGGAAACAAACTGAGACATAGACTCAAAAACTATATTTCAAAGTAAAACCTAATAGTGTGGTTTTAATTTGGGTTTAGCCCTTGGCTTGATGCTAAGGGCTGTTGTCCTGCTAGCAGCTGCCCCTCCAGCCCTCTTATGAGGTATCTAACAGGTTAGCATGTAATATAGTTTTTCTCAGTTTTGTACTCACAAAAACAAGTGCTTAGGCCTAATGACCTCAGCATTGTCACATGTTTTAAGCACAATTTTCATGAGTAGGATGTCATGTTTTCACAAGGATCACACTGCAGTTCTAAATTATAAAAGAGATTTGCCAGACTTCGCACACTTACTCATACAGTAACTTCGGTGAACCACTGTTTGCACAAAAATGGCCACGTTAGACCTTCTGTTTTTGTGCAATGGGGGCCAATATTAGATTGCATAAAAAAGAAAGCATAGTTTGTTTTTGTTTTTTACTATTACCACATGTAACTCTTATTTAATACCACCATGTATAAGTTTTTTTTAATGTATGATTACATTTTGGGGGGGAAATAAAATACTGTATCGTTAAAAGATACACCATTTACTGTTTTCTGTGGATAAAAACATGATGTCATGTTTTTCCTCTTTGTCTTCAGTGTTACACAGCAAGAGTTACACCAAAGAGAAAGAGGTAATGAGTTGGGATTTTAGTGATTAAATTGTTCTCATAAATGTTTATTCCTTTGATGGTTCCTGTGAGTTATTCGCAAACAAAATAGCCTTCTGAGAGGATTTCATATTGTTGTTAAAGTTAGATTTTGCAGCAGAATTGCAAGATTTTTTTGTGTGAAAATGTTGTGAAATGGAAAATGTTGTGAGAATCTGTTTAAATTTTCAAGAAAAACTAATCCATCCACCCTTTAATCAACTGACCAGCTTCCTTTTCTTTGCTTCGCTAATTAAAAGGCTCACCACCAAGTTTCTAGTTTTTTTGACTCAAAAAGTTTAACTTGAAACATTTTATGATTTACTTTGATGGTTCAAATGATTTGTTCTTTCTACTCTCCAATAAAGTCCAAATTTGTGGAGATCTGACTAATAATGCAGATGAACAATTCTCTAACCTGAGCTGTAGATCTCCAACAAGTTTGTCTTGAAGGCCTTGTCTTGATAGATTTACAGTTTTACCATAGTCAGATGATGGACAGAAAAATGCTCTATGAGATGTTCAAAGCTTGGGATATTGTTTTAAAATCTAGCCGGGCTTTAAACTTGTCCACATCTTCCTCCCTGACCTACCTGTCTGCTTTGCTCCTTGGTCTTCATGAGACCTTCACAGAATAACTCCATTCATGTTGATATTTCATTAAACACAGTTAAACTAGCAATAAAGTGGCTTTATTAATTTATTTTGGGTAAATTTGGGTAAATAGCACTGAATAAAATCAAAAAAGCATCAAAACAGTTTTGCACGACTTTGTGTGGGTTTTTTAACTAAAACGTGTTACAAAAGTCTGTCTAGAAAATAGCAAGGCCAATGTTTTATCTTATGAGACCTGAGACCATTTCACACTTACTTTCTCCCCAAATGTACTTGCACTGTCTGTCTTTGGTTTTACATTTTCCATTGAAGCAGCGACCCTGCAGAAAGATAGAGGAAAAGCTGCAAAGACTCAAGTAAAAAACAATTACAGGCAAATCTGATCTAAATCCAATGTCTTACCTGATCTTTTTCACATGTGTATCCATCCATCTTATGCACATTTGGTGGACACTGAAACAAACAAGAAAGGTAGTTTGACGTATCATGGTTATTGTACAGGTTGATCACCAAACAAACAGCCTGTGGGAGACTCATGCTCACCTGGCTGGAGTTGCCAGTGCATTTCTCTGGTATGTCACAGTCGTTCACTGCGTCTCGGCACAAAACTCCCATGACTTCCAACTGTAGAATAAAATTATGCTAATTAACCAGACTGTAAATAATAAGCATCATGTATTTAGGCAGCACAATACTGCATGTTTTTCTCCTATGAATTAAATAATGATATAGGGCATGCTCTCCTCGGGCCCTGAGGAAGTGTAGCATTTCTTGTTCTTTACCTGGCAGTTTCTGCAGCATAGTCCATTGCTACAATCGGAGCCTTTGGTCAGAGTGCAGTTCTTGCAGCAATTCCCCCCCTCGTTGGCACATTCCTTAAAACACAAACATAAATTGTTTAAATAACATCTAATTCACAATAAGTTATTTTGCAATACTTCTAGTTTAAACATAGATCTGACTGATTTTTATCCAATCAAGTTACCTGCTTTAAAATAATGGTTTTAGATATTATGGGGGTTTGTGATTTCTCTCTTCCTTTATGAAAACCATCATAAAAGGCTGGAGTCCTTGCAAACATTTTATTGCCTTTTTTTCTTTAATTCAATAAAAAAAAAATAATAATAATAATGACTTCAGACTGTTGTTGTCGTTTTTTGTGTCTCACCCCTTTAAGGCTCGATTACCATTGTTCCCAACTACTAATTTTTTTATAATTAGAGTAAGAATTGAGCATAAATGTTTTGGAAAGAATGATATTTCACAAACTTAAGAGAGGTATCCTGTCACCTATATTGAAATGCTGACAGCCATTTTTCTTTAACAGCATTTTTTTTTTTTGGTATTTTAAACACTTCAATCCATCGTTTTAGAGGAAGATCTCAGTATTTTTAGAAATGTTTGCCTGGAATCCAGCCATGTATGATGGTTTGCTTAAAGAAAGAGAGAAACACCCCCCCCCCATGCTATCTTAAACTATAATCAAAAGCAGAGTTATTTTTGTGTTTTTTTTATTAAATTCAAGAACAAAAAGTGATCTGAAAGGAAAATAAATTTGATAGCAAAATAAAAATAATAGAAAACTAATGTTCACACTGACAGCAAAAACTGCTTCTATTTGAGACTGAAGAAAATGTTTTGAGAGAAAATATTCCAAAAGAGTTAAAAAATATTTTGTCAAAAATAGATTTTTACTCTCAAATATTGTTTTTCTTTTGCAATCATATTTAAAACATTTTCTCTCATAAAGAGATTTCTCACTAAAAACTTATTTTTCTCTCAAAACCTAAGTCTTTGCACTCAGTTCAGGACTGTTCTCTCCATGTGTTTTTTCACATGTGCTCCTGTTGGCCAGTCTCAACAGATTTAACAGCTGATTGGTCTGGGTTGGAAAAATAAGCTCCAGGAAATAACTAATATTTCATAACAAAAGGATCCTCTATAGTACCAAAGGCAATATGTCATCATTTATTTGCCTATTGCTCATTTTGGAACTTGAAAAAAACAAACACACAATATAGAACCTTTATAGAAATTCTTTATCAGACAAATACAGTTTCTACCTCCCAAATACACGGGAACAGTTAGATATGACTCCTTCCAGATGGACATGACTCCCTACCAGGACGCAAAGTGAGACCAGAGAGCGAGTTTAGTACAGACGAGCTTTAGCGGGGAGAGGCCGCAAAGAGTAGGAGAGGCACACAACTTCAACCAACATCAGTGTCTGACCTAGAAAATTATTATTTGACAGCATGGTCAAATATTCCCATAAGCCCAAGGTCAAAACAACAGCACCATGTTTTGTTACGGTAATTTAGAGTGAAAGTCTTGGACCTAGTCTCAGGTTAGATTTCCTTTACTATGTAACTGAGGTAGTGTATTTCTGATTTTTGCTGATTTTATTTCATTACAGTTTAGAATGTTAACAGATGTTTAAAGGTGACTTAAATATCTTTACACTTAAATAATAGATTGTTGATCTGTTTAAATATTTAAAAAAAACTTTTAATTTTGAGATCTAGTAAAAGTTTGTCCTGCTGAAAATCAAAGCTGTCTCAAAAGGCTCCCTAAGGAGCCATCGGGATCACAGTTTGACTCGGTAATAGAAAGAATGAAAATACTTGTGGAAAATACTAAACAAACACACCCAGGTGTAGCACTTACCTCTGGGGTACCACAGTCACACTCTTCTCCTGGCTCCACAAAGCCATTACCGCATTCTGGGGGGTCAAGCAGCTAAGTGGAAGACGGAAAGAAGAAAAGTTTGTATTCGTTCAAGCAGAAAACTCCACAAGATGTAGATTAAAACTGAATGCAGCGTTAAAATAAAAAACCGAAACCTTGTATTTATGGAGCTACAAGAGCCTTAACATTTACAAACTCACATATGTGATCCACACGTCAACATAGTGACACATATTGACACATTCACAAGACAAGATCAACTAAATTATTTGTGATGAATACACAATCATATCCAGAATTACAAATTACTACTTTTCTTTGAACTTTACTGCATTTGTGTATAGATTTTTGTGACACAATGCACAAATGCATTTTTTTTAACAAAGCTATGATTTGCAACCAATTAGATAACTCCATTGTTTGTTTCAGCCAATTACAGGGAATGTACATCATGCACTGTGCATGTGTAGATCACATATACGAATTTGTCAATATTGAGAAAGTGGAGGAAGGCTGATGGATGTAAAGGATGGGTGGGAACACATTTGGAAAACTGTATCGCATAACCTCTCCTTTAGCCAACACCTACAAACAGCTCAGAGGCTCATTTGTCAATACTGCAGAAAGACCAGTTAAAAAACAAGCCCAGACTTCAGAGGGTCCTATCCTGCTGGTATAGTGACAAAAACAATGACTCGTTGTTGCTCTTTTTGTAACACATGCAGCCTCGGTCCATTTGTAATAGACTGAGCTCATATAAGATTCGGGAAACGGTTCACTTAAATACCTGATTTGCGGTGGCTTCAATTCAATTTAATTCAGTTTATTTATATAGCGCCAATTCACAACACGTCATCCCAATGCACTCTACAGTTCACCAGATCATACAGTCAAATTGATTCAAAGTTTTCTATCTAAGGAAAACTTTGAATCAAAAGCTTTGATCTTTACAAAAGTGGTATCTTTGATGTTTTGTTTTCTATTGGGATAGAAATCCTTAAAAGCCATTAAATTTATGCGTAAGGGAATTGAATTAATTCATCCACATTGTTTTTTAAAGTCTCTCTCTCAGATTCTGGTGCTGAATAAAGCATTTTAGGATCATCTAATTCATTGCTTTGCAATTCTGCTGTTTATATTTCTACAAACTATTGGAGTGATGTTCAAAATGTGATTGTGTATAGATTTACAGTTTATGTGTGCGTGTCCTTTACCTTCATAGGTTTGTTAAAGAGGCAGGCTCCTCCCCCACTGTTCAGAAAGTTATGGTACTCCTCCACGTTGCAATCAGTAAACCTCTGGGGTAAATAGTACCTGGAAAAAAACAACAAACAAAAATGAGGAAACAAAAACCACATCTTATAAAATCAAGGACAGAAGCCTAGAAGCATCCATTGACAGGATTTCATCTATAGAAACACAAGCCAACGAAATCCTGAAACTGAATAGGAAATTTTATTAAGTATGATCCCAGTTCTGCTGCAGAAATGAAAATGAGCAGATTCAGGGTGAGGTAAATTAGAGAGCTTTTCATTTACCTTGCTTAGGATTAAGTATTTTTGTACTACCTGCTGATCTGTTGCCATGAAAGGAACATAAATTACCCTTTACAGATTGTTTCATTATTTGCAAGCTTGGGGATTGTTTCTGGTTTTTTCTTCTTCTAGGCATGGTGATTTGTTCAGAGCATTAAAGTAATTTTAATATTAATAAAATAACTAAAAAAAAATATTGGGAGGGGATAAAATCTGCACCTATAGCTGAAACGACCAGAGCCCGTACATCATCAGTGACCCCTCACACCCCCACCATGGACTGTTCTCCCTGCTTCCCTCTTTTCTCTGTCAAGAGGCTTCGCAGTATCCCATGCAGTCCCAGCAAGTTCTGTATCAGCTTTTTCCCCACTGCTATCAGACTGCTGAACTGTTAAAAAAACTCTAAATCGAGTCACAAATCCAGACTCTGCATCCCACTGATAACATCATACCAAATAGTACTAAACTCAAATGTTTTTCTACAGCAATTTTGCAGCAGATATATTTGTTTTTGCACTGCTCTGAACTTCCACATCCATGCCTTTTGCACCATGTTTTTTCTCTCGCACTGTTTATATTCAAATCACTGCTGCACTTTATTTATTTATTTATCTTTTATTTGTTTATTTACAGTGTCCTGTCTGGCGATGTCGAAATAAGAATAATTGTCTTGATGCCAAAAAAGACCCAAACAGATTTTACTTTCATAAGTGGAGCAGTACGGCTATCGCCATAGTGGTCCGCTTGATTTATGCATATAAATAGCTTTATTATAATTATGCAGGGAGTTTTACAGATTATATGCTGCTGCACTTTATGAAATAGAAATGTTCCTTTTCCCTGCTAAACTGCTGCTCATTCACTGTCTGAAATCTGTATAAACAAAATTCTGTTTTGTATACAAATAATAAAGTTGTCTAAGTCTAATAAACACTGAATAAAGAGCATCTTTGAACATCAGTTTTTACATTTTACAAACATTTCATGTTGTGATTTCAGCCTGTACTTTGAGGGGGCCATTCACTATCTGCCTTAAAAAACATGTTCCAGCGTAGCTCTAACTGTATGTACGTATGCTATTGTCTGTTGAAGCCTTTAACCTGCTTTCTTTCAGCATTGCCCTATTTTAAGCTCTATGCATCTTCCCATCACCTCAGACCAGACCTAGATCATCTAATCCAGCTGTAAAGCTCTGACAACAAGTTTAAAAAGTTTAACAGGTATAAATACATTTTTAGCATTTTGTAGATATTTTGTTTGATTTTATTTTTTATTAAAATGGACAGGAAGTAGAAACTTACAACAGCTAAAATATAAAGTCAATACAACAACCCTACAATAATTCTAAGAAACTCACTCTTTACTCACTCTTTACCAAGTTGACTTAAGGTGTGGGTAATACTGACAGATCTGCAATAATTAAATATCAACTAAAAGAAAACACAGATCAAATCTGTCCCATTCCCTGTAAAAACACAGTATTTATTCAGCTAGACACTCGTGCTCATGCACACAGCAGCAACGCCCTGTGGAAACAGCATGAAAACTGTTATTCAGGTTAACTAGATCAGGCATGCAGGAACTACAAGATAAAAACAGGCGATTCATTGAATACAAATGTCTGAAATACCATTGACTTGACTTTAAAAATTAAAATTGTGTCTCAGTCCATTCACAGGTGACAGGCTGAAAGTAGCACCTGTCTCCTGCCATGGGATTTTCAATAAAGAGATAAAACCGGATCTAGAGACTGTATCTTAAGGAAGTCAGTTACTGTTACACTAAAACCAGCTAGATAAATATCTAAATATCAACAAAGAATGAAAATGACATTGCAGACTGTATCAATCGGTTAGATGTAGACAAACATAAGTGATGACAAGTTGGAACTTGTCCCAGGAGAAGACGGAAACCTTTAAATGAGAAGAAACGGAAACAAAGTTTTCCTTGTTGATCAGCCAGTGACATCGACTGAAAACTAAAGAATAGAAATCATCTAAATGTGGAATTCTGCTGAGTGATTATGAAAAATACAGCAGATCAATGAGCCGTATTTATTCATATTGTCTTAATCAGAGGTGTCCAAAGTGCGGCCTGGGAGCCATTTGTGGTCCTTGGAAGCAGAGGCGGTTTTGGATTAGTTTTATGGGCATCTGCCCCAGGTGACTTTAGAAAGAGGGAACACTGGCTACAGATACAATAAAAACATAGCTGCTCTGTTGTATAATAACAGATTAATTCCTTACTTTTTATTAATTTATGGGCTGGCAGAATAAGTAGCTTACATAGTGCCAAAACCGCTACTGCTTGGAAGGTATCTGAGCATCCCGCAACCACAATTTAAAGATGATACAAACATGGCCCGTTAGGAATAAAGGTAGACAGTTTAAAATTTAAAAAGTTACATACAACAAAAAAAATAAATCTTTTATTTACCACGCACTTTGTATTTATTTTATTCTAATGATTTCTTGTGAGCACAAAAAATGCATTTGATTAAACACAGTAAGTATTTCCAAATGAACGCATGAAACACATTTTCTAGACTAACAGAATAAAAACAAAACATAGCAAAAAGCAAATAAATAATTGAAATGTGTTTTTAGTTTATTATTGAGCAAGTTCAAATAAGAAGATCAATTGAAAATCCATTGTTTATAGTAAAATGTAAACGTGTTCATCTTCACAATTTTGGAAGAAAAGTTTGGACACCACTGGTCTAAATAAAAACAGAAGCTGGTGCCGTGGTAACGGTGGTGCTGCTGAATGTTGGCAATGGTTGTGCTTATTGAAAACCTCTCTTGGAGGCAGCCGCTTTGCCCCCTCACACCAAAATAAAAAATAAAATAAAAGCCAAAGCAAAATCGAGCGAGCTTCTGCTCACCTGCTGTGCCTTTGAGGACAGAGGGGAAATGCAAAATGTATTTAAATAAGGGGTATTAAAACTCACAAACAAAAATATATTCACAGACTCTCACATCCCGTTCAAAGCGCTTGCAGCATAAAAACACACCTCAATACAACATCTGGATTTAGGCATGAAAACTGACTAATCAAAATGAATTGTTATTTACATTGGTCTTATTCTAGCAATGACTTATCTGATAGGAACTGGGCATAAACACATCTGGACTGACATCTAGTGGTCTATTACAGGACTACAACAGATTTAATACTGTTTTCTTCTATATAAATATTCCATATTTACATTCACTTAGAAAATACTTAATTCAAAAACAGTCTGCAGTTATCTGTGATTAATTGGTAAATATCACAAGTTTAGAAACATTTATTTGAACTTACCCAACGTCACCCATGATACATCCTGTCCATTTATCAGGGCACTTACATTCACCTTATATAGACAAAAAAAAACAGAAATGAGGCTTTAAGTTCAGGTTTAAAGAAATCGAAAAAAAAATGAAGAAAGTTTCCTGCACATACCGTTAAGAATCCTCTTCTTGTCCGAAAAAATGCCGATGTTCTGACCCAAAGACTGAGCCAAGGTGACAGCCATCTCACCGTGTTTACCGTACTGATGCAAACAGAGCGAAAACAAAACAGCAAACAATAAAATAAGTGCTAAGAAAAAGAATATAAATATGAAATATATTCCACTGCATGTCTAATCAGAATAAAACACTCTGATCAGCCAACAGAAAACTCATGTCTATCACTAAAGCCTCAGTTATAGAGCTTCACTTGTCTCATTTTATCACAGTACAACAGGAAGCTAAATTGTATTTCACTGTGATTTTATATGATAGACCAAGAAAAAATATGCTTTAATTTGAAATGGGGCTTCCCTCTCTGATAAACACCAATAATCAGCTCGATTGGGAAAAGTGCATAAATGGTTGTTAACCTTTTTGCCTACATGCAAAAGGCTGTGTGGATTAAAACTGGCCTTTTATGTCAAACTGACAAATCCATTCATATGGTAGGACATGGTGGTGGCAACATAATGCTGTGGGGATGCTTTTCTTTGGCAGGGAAAAGGTTCAGAATTAAGAAAGGGCAGATGGTGCTGATTGCAACACAGTTGTGGAAGATTCCTGCCAGAGGCAGAAAAAGATTTAAAACTGGGGGAGCAATTTTATGCTTTTTCCACATCTGCTTCACATCTATTACTTTGTCATAGAAAATGCTTATGAAATATAGAAATTTTTGGTTGAAATCTAACAAGATATGAAAAAGTTGAAAGGTGAATAAGTGGTTCATCTCACCTCGTTGACTCCCCCTCCTTTGGTGAGAGAACAAACTCCTCCCATATAGGAGGCTGACCCCGAGCTGCTGCGAAACTGATTCCCTCTGCAAGTAAAAATTTGTGTTTCACAAACTAAAACTGTGCACAAAAAACAACAAAAAACAAAATCCACTTTCATGTCAGAAAGACTCACAAAAAGAGCTGAACAGAGTCACATTTCTCCTTGATGAAGTCCTTCCTGTACTTCATGAACTCCTTGAGCGTCACCATGGGATCGTCATCGATGTTGAACTTGTTGTCCACCGACCAGGTTTCCATAGCGACGAGAACAATCCGGGTGTTGAGCTGTTTCCGGAAAATCTGACCACGGCAGGATAGAGAGCGTTAATGGTCAAAGGCTCTGGAAGTCAAAAAAGCTTCATCTTCAAAGTCGCTGAGCGAGGAAGAATGATGAGGCCAGATCAGCGTGACAGCTGACAGACGCGTTTCATAATCAGGAAGGTCTCCAGCTGCTTATTATGACAGAAGTCAAAGCGCTGCTGTGATCCTGACACCAGACAGCCGCACATCACAGGAGACCAGACAGTCAACAAAGGTAACAGTCTGAAGGACAACACAGGCGGAGGCAAATATTTATGCTTGTGCCTTTGAAGTCTCCACTGAGTTTTGCTTTATTAACGCAAACAGTGAAGAAGACCAAAAAGATTACATTAAAAAGAGAATGAAGAATCTGATATAGGAAGGATTTTTCACACTGATCTTCACCATTCTGTCAAACCAATTCATTCATTTAGAAGAATTAGAATACAAGCAGATAATAGGAACACATAGACAATCTTCAGCACAGATTTTGCACCTAGGCTGTGTCGCTCTCCAAATGTAAACACTGGTTCTATCTATAATATAAAAACAAATATAGGTCAGAAGACCTGTGCTGCATATTGTCAACATAGGTTTATAGTGACATTTAGGTTGCCATTTACAAAGGATGTTGAGTAAAAGATAAGACATTTCGAGGTTTTTAATTGGATGAAATATTCTGGTTGATGTCTTATCTTTTTCCTTGTTACTTCTTCTTCTGTTACATGTTAGATCTGACCGGTTATCTTGGACTTTTTAATAGAACTGAAAATTAGATGTCTTAAGTCTTGAGTAAGATAATGATTCAGAAAACAGAGGAAATACCATAACAGAAATTAAATTAATATTCTTCCATGGTTATATTATCATCCAGATGGAGGCCCTATAGAAAATCGACTAGGTGAGGTAAGAAGAGGATAAGGTCCAGGATCCATGCTAGGATTGTTATAGCAAACTAAGTGCAGGACTACTGGTAAATACAGCACTACAAAAAAAATAAATGTAGAAGTTGGATTTTTTTTAACCCTTTCACTGATAAATGTGAGCATGGTATATGCCATTGCCTACACTATCTGGATAGTGTAGCATTCTGGGTCTAAATCAATATGTCCTTTGTGAACTCAGATGGTTCATACAAACATCTCCAAGGGCACGACAGAAAGTGTGACCTTTGTCACAGCCTCTCAGTTTACAGATGTAATCCTGCAGCCGGTCAAATTTCAGTAACACAGCAAGAGTATCAAGGCTGCAGAACAGATTCAGCATCAGAACCATTGGAATGCTGCAGCCTCCAGCCACAGAAATCTGACAACTCATCGTTGGTCGAGTTAATGGCTGCTTAAATCCCCATATTAGGGAGAAAGTAGAAATGGCTGGAGCAAGGCTGGTTAATTGATAAATCAGTGCAATGGGTGCCTGACCAGCTGGGGGAGATTGTGGCAAGCTTTCCAAGAAGAAGATCGATCCAGTTCCTACCATGTCAGCTAAATTGACCACTGTCTTAGCGTTGTGGTTCGTTTGCCCAACGGAAAGACGATGCCTCTTATACTGAAGGAGAAGAAAGACAGACAGAGGGGAGCGAGGGGGAGACACATAAAAGAGGGATTAATGTCCTAAAATCAATGGAATATAAAGTGTAAATGTAAAACCACATTAGTAAATATTTAACGTTTCCTTTGTTTGACAGGCAACAATAAAGGATTACGTACAATAAAGATAAGCATTTAAAAAAATAAAGCCTTTTTAGTTGGCTTTTATGGTTTTCTAAATTCCCACAAACTTTTTAACACTCAACACTGCTAATTATCTGGTTCCTAGCCAGATATTAAAAAAAACTTATTTTTAGAAATTTTAGATAAATTATCTTGTTTTAAGACATAATTTCTAATGCTTATTTCTAGATTTAAACATTTTAAATCAAGAAATCTTGTTAAGGAAAATTATCTTGCTGCATGAACAAATAATTTCACCAGGTTTGCATCTTTTCCATGGGATAATTCTTTTCATTTCATTTTAGAAACCCCTTTTTTGTAGTGAATGAATTATATACCGGTAATAAAAAAGTCAAACATCTTTCACAAAAGCAGTGTAAATTAGGATATCTGGATAGATAATGACAAATGACTTTAATAGTCCATATATTTCTAAGAGTTACCCGGTTGAGCTGGTACTGGAAAAGTGAACATTAATCTGCCCAACCCAGTTTTGTTTGGATTAACGATCATTCTTCCAGTTAAACCCTCATTTCTGTCTAAGTTTCAGCTGTTCGTTTGAGGTACAATTAAATATTTAAGGGGTGTCCCTGAATATCTCAACAAACATTACATCTTAAGGGGGCAGTTTTAGTATAACCAAAATCCCTGACATTGGTTTGGTATAAATCAAGGCATCTTCAGAATGTGGGCTCAGGTGTAGAAATATTTCAGTATGGCAGTTTTTCACTGCATTACATCTAACAGGCCTTATTTATGATATAACTGGAGCAGGTCCAGGTCTGAGAGAAAACACCTCTGCATACATGAACAACCTAAACCTTTTTATCTACGATGTTTCAATTCTTACCTCAAACTATTCAACAATGCAATGGTTTGAGGTAGTTCTCAGAGCCTACTCCAAAAATAACTTTGAAAATAAAAATGAAAAGCCCCAAAGTGTAAAGACGTCAACATCCCTTATGAAAATATGGAAACAAAAAGATTCAAAATGACAACTTACCATTACATGGTCATTGATCACCATAAGCTCTATGTATTTGGTTTCATCCTCTACACTGCGGGAAAAACGTTGAGCCTGAAAGTAGACAAAAGATTGATCATTTTTCCAGACAATTTTCTTCCAATGAGCAATTGCATTTTAATTAAAAATCTAGGAATAGCACATAAACCCAGTTATTCACTTGTGTTTCCATCAGCACAAGGAAAAACAAACCCATAGGTAGGAATCTGCAAAAGTCAAACAAAACCAGCTTGTTCTTAGAACAAAAGGAACTTCAGGGGCTAAGATACAAAAACCTGCAGGTGTCTAAAAATCTGTGTTCAAAAGACAAGTCTCTACTTATGTGACAAATTCTGTATGAGACAAGAAAGGGGGGAGGATTAAAGAAAGAGGTTTTTGGACAAAAGGGCGAAGAGGTCTAAAAGGTCTTGTAGTGGTAAGTCACCTGTCCTGCAAACAGCAAGCCTGGGTTCATATCTTAGCTGGGGGAATGAGCTGCCAGTGTGGGTCCTTAGACAAGACCCTTCACTCTAATCCCTGTTTTGGGGAGTGGAGGCCTAGTGGTTAGGGCATTGTGCTTGAGTTCAAGCCCCACTCCCACATACTGCCACTCTGGGTCCCTGAGCAACGACCCAACCCCCACACTGTTTCCCGGGCGCCACACAATGGCAGCCCACTGCTCCCCAGCGGGATGGGTTAAATGCAGAGAGTTCATTTCATATCTCTGTACTTGTGACAGTGTGATGACAATGAAAACGCTGGGGGAAAAAAATCATTTGATTTTTGGCAACAAATTGCTTTAAAAGTTTACCTGTCTCTTTTTTCTCCAATGCACGACTTTTGACCCAGGAAAAGGAGGACTGGGAAAAGGTGGCTCCGGTAAATCTCCTGGTAAAGAAAAAGAGGATTTAGAAACAGTCCAACACATCCACTGTGTTCAACTTCGAGGCTGTAACCAGGAAAGGATGGGGGGCTCAATGACCACAATAAGTTGTGATTTTTGCTTATTGATTCATGCATTTTTTTCATCTCATTTAAATTAAATTCTCTGTCATGCAACAAAAAAGCAATAAGTCTTGTAACTATATATATATATATATGATTTTTTTAACCAAAAAATTTATGTTGAAATAAATCCCAAGAAACCAATCCAAATCTCAAATAATAATAATAAAAATTTTAAAAAAATCTTAATCTTTGGGTTCTTCCCAGGAAAACCGCAGCATTCCCAATTGAAACATACCCGAGTGAAAAGCGTGCTTTAAAGAATTAATTCAAAAGAAACAACACATAATTTTACTTCCATAGTTAGACATTTGCCATTAAGCTCCTTAGTCATCCACTCACCACCAAAGATTTCACTCAGTTCCTCTTCTCCAGCAGATTTGTATATCATGTGAATGTCAAGTTCTCCCTAAAAAAAAAATGAGGGATGAGAAAAACAATCAGTTTACTAAAAATATAAAGATCACATCCATTACTTTTAAATACAAAACAAACGCTGTATATTAACTTGGTTTTGAATGTGTATTCTATTGAAGACCTGAAACTTCAGGAAGATGTTACTCTCCTGTGAGTCAGCGCTGAGGGCAGAAACACCCAGAGACGTTCAGATGCGACACCCTGTTAGCTGTGTTTACGGACGGCTTTAGCTTTAGCTAAGTTTGTCTTCAAGTATGTAAAAGGGACAATTCAGAAATGCCACTTCGTTCACTTTGATCTACGGCAGATATCTGGAAATATAAGGTATTTCATCCTATATTGAAATGGTAGATTTGTTTAATTTAAATAAGGGAGATGTTACAGGTCGCTACTGTAATGCTAACTTTGTTAGCTGTTGGCTAGCTGGCTAATTAGCATCCACAGATTGTGTCAAACAGAATAATTACCGCTCTGATAATTTTTGTACAGGTTAAATATCATGCTTTGGACATTTTAAATATATTAATAAGGGGTTTAAACGCTTGTTAGAGGTGAAAACTCGAAAATAGGTAGAGCCTGTTCGGTTCCTTGGCAAGCCTATAATAATAGTTTTGTTTTTGTTTTTTTTCTGGTTCAAAAGATATTGTTCTTAATAGAAACATAAACTTAAAAAAAAACATACTTTTTTTTCTTTGTGTTGCCCAAAAAACAAATAAATTAGGTAAGTATTTATAGTCCACATTTTATACACTGAAATGCAACACAATGCTGTTTAAAGAAGTGAAACAGTTAACTAATATAACTGTAAAAGATTGAAAATGTTTTTAAGTAAACACTAAATTATGTTTGTCTGGCTACATGTGGCGTATAGACCCTAAACAAAGAGAAACACTAAACTCTGACAGATAAGAGATAAAATATAGAATATGGTAGTCAGTAAGTAAATAACTAATCTTAGCTCCCTGCAGCTCTTTCTGATGGCTGTGTCAAAAGTGAGGGTCATCATGAATACATTAATCTTTCAGAGAGAAATCTTCACTGTATCATTATCAAATTGATATAGGCATAAAAATAAATATCAGTTAAAAGTAAAATAAAAACATGGGGAATAATCTAGAGTTTTAATTTCAATGTATTAACAGAAAACCTGAGAGGTCTGAGTGGCTTAGAAGTCTTCCAGGTTAAATAAAACAAACAAAAAACCCTGATGAATACAAAAAGTGGAGTAGCAATAATTATAAAAAGGTAATTATAAAATTATAAAAAGATTACATTTCAAAAACAAAATGTGCAAAGTGTTAAACATAACATGGTTCAAGGGCAAAGAAACATATTTCAAGAGAAAAAGCGAAGCATAGTGTTAAAAAATCTAGCAAATACGAAATGCAATTTAATACATAAGTAAAACAGGTCACTAAAATAGTAAATTATGGGAAAAGTAACATTCAGAAAATATATTTAAAAAAAGAACAAAAAAGTTTGATGGTGTGTACAAAAATATTCAAAAAGCAATGCTGAATTTCTAGATCAGATCCTTTCGTTTAAACCAAAGATTCTACATTAATGTTGGATTAAGTATTATGTGACGGGTGTAGAAACTATCTGCTCTGGTGTCATAGATATGAAAAGTAATATTTAGAATGTATTTGCATGAATAGCTAACACATTAGAGATCATTTAAACTTTTTTATTCAGTTGATTTTCCACAGTCAACACATCTACGTTTGGGTGCTTGAGGTGCAAAAAATAATTATTTTCAAGTAATAGCTGAAAGAAAACAAAGAAAAGCAACATCAATCCAGAGAGAAATATACAAATGAGACAGATAATAGAGTCTTATAAAGATATAATGGAAGGTTTCTGGAACTGACACAGTTTGTCAAATCTTTCCCCACTTTAGTTGTGAAGCTGAATATATTATTAAAAGCTAGAAATTAGGCTGAGGCAGCACTCTTTGACTTCTGTGAGAAGAACTTTTCATATGCTTTAAAGATATTTACTAGTATTTGAGAAGTTGATCTCTGTGTTAACTGTATGCCAACTATACTGTATAATTTTTATCCCTGATAATCTCTGAGTACCTATTTGTTTGAATCAACAAAGTTAGTTAAAGTATAAAGCAGGGTTCTGTCAGCACATAGACTTCAAGCTTTTTTCTATTGCTTTTTGTTTAACTGTAGAGCCTATGTGATGCAGTCTCATACAGTCATTCCCACTTTGTTTGCTAATGAAATGAGAGCATTGTCACTCAGGGACTGGAGATATTGGGTCAACTACATGCTGGTGAATAGATGTGTTATAGGGGTGGCCTGCAGCTAGGTCAGCATGTGCCACACATACTCCAGCAGTAACAGGGTCAGTCAGTAAAGCTATAAAATATATTTTTTTTAATGGGTGTTTTAAAGCAGTAGTTCTGTTTCATATTGGAATAACTGGTTCTGTTGCTGCCTTATTGTGTTTATCCTGAAGTAGCAGCCCCGGTTCCAACCATCGAAAAAAACAGCCATGACGTGCCGGGATATCCACGCCACCAACGCCTTTGCCTTCATCATTGCCTTCGTATCAGTGGGTGGGATCACTGTGGCAGCACTGATCCCACAGTGGCGCATCACCAGACTCATCACCTTTAATCGCAACACCAAGAATGTCACCGTGTACGACGGGCTGTGGGCTAAATGTGTAAAACAGGATGGGTATTCGGGATGTTACCACTATGACTCAGAGGTATTACTCTCTGATATTTTTATCTGCTTTTATAATTTCTGTGAATTCAGATCTGAAAACTCCTAAAATAGAAAACAAAAATTAATTGAAACAGGCCATTAGTATGGGTGAAGAACAATATAATTAAAGATATATGAGGATAGTGAAAGCAATTTTGTTAATGCTGTACTATAAATAAAAATATATGTTCATCCATAAAATGTTTTTAAAAGGTTTTATTTAAAAATGACAGGTCTAAAATGTTTACTAGTAATTGTACTGAAAAAATATGGATCCCTTAAAGTAAGACCTAATAGAAACCATTGCTTCTTCTTTTTCTTCTAGTGGTACTCCAAAGTCGACCAGCTGGATCTGCGGCTCCTGCAGTTTTGCCTTCCAACTGGCCTCTTTCTCGGCTCCCTAGCCTTGCTTCTTTCCATGTCTGGGATGTTTAAAACCTGCTGCTGCTCAGACAAGCCTGAGCCGGACATTAAGACCACCAGATTTATAGTAAACAGTGCAGGCTGCCATCTGGTGGCTGGGATGTTCTTGTTCCTCAGTGGAGTCGTCTCCATCGCGCCTTCAGTGTGGTTCCTGTTCCATACCAAGGAGATGAACCGTAAATATGCCAACATCTTCTCCAATGGGTTCGCTGTCTATGTATCCATAGGCTGCTCTGGAGGACTCATGTTAGCTGCGCTACTTACATTCATGTGGTATTGCATGTGTAAGAAGCTGCCTTCACCTTTCTGGTTGCCGCTGACTCCAATGTCTTCCTCTACTTCCACCCAACCTCTCACCGCCAACGGATTCCCTCCTTCCCCGGGTTATGGCCCGCAGCAATTCCCACCACAGGTGCTTCCCCCTACAGTCATCGAGACACAGCCTTTTGTGACTTCGCAGGGCTACATCCAAAACGCAATGGCCCCTGCACCTGGTCAGCTGTATATGTCTCAGGTTTCTGCTGCAGATGGGTATGGATCTGAGGTGGGAGGAAGCCAGGCTTACACCTACGCCCCTTCCCAGAGCTACGCACCATCGCAGAGCTACGCCCCTTCCCAGAGCTACGCGCCATCGCAGAGCTACGCCCCTTCCCAGAGCTACGCACCGTCGCAGAGCTATGCACCTTCCCAGAGCTACGCCTCATCTCAGAGATATGCATCCAGTTACACAGGCCACCGTTACTCCAGCCGTTCACGGATGTCAGCCATAGAGATTGACATTCCTGTTCTTACCGAGCCAGAGTGAGCAGGAAGGATGATAACTAGAAAACACTAAAGGCCTCTGCCTATAGGGCACCAGAAAGTAGTGTGCTGATAAAACTAATAGACCCTGATTGATGAAAGCCATCTTTAGCCGCTTACAGTTTAAAAGGTCTATCCAAACAGTTTAGGTTTGTAGTGCTGATTATATAAGACGAGAGCCACCCCAAACAACACTACTGAATGAAAGACTGTGTGTGTGTGTGTGTGTGTGTGT